CATATCCTTCGCGCGCTTTCTTTATCTATTTTCAAATGGTTGTTGAGCGAATCTCACAATAGAATTCTTCGTTACTTCCTCAGTAAAATTGCTATGCTGAATGTGAAAAAAAAATAATTTCGCTATATCTGCGAACCCTTCTCCTCTAATAGCAATGCTCGAGCAAATATATGTTACTTCTATTTATTTCTCAGCCTTTCAATCATCCTGAGAAAGAACAAAAATTTCTACCGTTTCGACTGTATCAACAGTCTCTTCGCTCTCTGTATATATTATATGCGAGCGTCAGCTCGCTCGTCGTTCGAGTGTTGTCGAGGGGGAGAGTGATCTCTCTTGCCGTGTGGATAATATGTAAATTAGGTTACGTAACTGTTTGTTTTGTTTTTCGGATTAACTCCAGTATATTGCTCGACTGTACACGTGAACGACGCATCAACGTGATGCTCGCGTCGGTTTTATTTCTTCAAGTACACTTGAAAGGCGCGTGATAAAGGAATGCTCTCTTTTTTGAAGGTGTGATTTTATTGTCGAAATAATTTATTGATGTGAAAGAAAAAATGGAAAAAAAAAATACTTGAAGTAAACCAAACCACTGTTGGGCGCCACTAAAACGATGGTGGGACTTGCCCTTGAATCCACCCGTAGGATCCACCGATAATAGACGGGTATGCTCCGGCTAGGTCAGTATAATTGTCAATCGACCAGGTGTCGACTGACCCGCGGAGGCGGTCGGGGTTTAACCCGTCGGTTGAATTAGAGGTGAAGGGTATGCAACGCAAATAAAGAGCTACGTTATAGTAAGACGTTGGCAGATTTATTGTGTCAGCGACTACCCTTATATAACGTGCGACCTTCTCGCAAAGGTGCAATCAAGAGTTTCCGCCGAAACTCTGCGCCGCAATACAATTGATACCGCGTGAGAGAGAGAGAATAAGTCGTACCGTGTTTACGAGCTTGCGAGCTTCGTCGACGGGAGGCTATCCTCCGGATCGCCCTCGCACGTGGATCAGACGGTTTTACTTCGCGCCGTCGGCTGGTCGACGAAGGGCTCCGTTGCTACGCGGCTGCAGGCCTGCTGGTCGGATCACGGAGGTGGTGAGACGTCGTCGCCTCGAGCGCGATACTCGGATATCGATGTGACCGCGTCGAGCGTAGCGAGACGAAAAGCCGCGATGTCCGTTCGCGCGTTCGCGGGAGGTCTTCGCTATCGTGTTTCGGTAATCTTCGGTGATTGTCGGCTACTCGCTGTACTGTCTCTCTCTCTCTTTCGTCGTGCCGTATCATCGTGTGTGTGTGTGTCCTCACACTTGCGTTGGCTTTCGGCGCTCGCGATGTATGTAACTTTGTCGTGTTACACATGTTTCACGCATTTTTACCTGGAAAAAGATTTCTGGGTGCTTCGATTAAAATGGTCCACCCTGTATACTTACTGTCCGGTTAGAAAACAAGATACGAGATAGCTGGATACAGCCAACGTTAGCAAAACCAAACATCCGTTCTGGTAGTCTAAATCAATATATATATATATATATATATATATATCACAGTTAGCGTTTGAACCTTGAGGTGAGTAGACGTGTTAAATCTGCGCTCTACCGGAAAAGTCTTAGTTATAGCAATAGCATAAGTGACAATTAAAGGTGAAACTCGTTTAACAGAATTACAAAACAAGACGGCCGAAATGGCCACAAAAGTAAGTGATGATTCGTCATCCAACAATAAAGATAAACCTGGAGAATGGAAAATCGCTTCTAATAAAAGAAGTCCAAGGAGTCGCAGCAGTCCAGGCAATGAAACACAAATTATTCAAACTATCAAACAAGCAAAATTCGACTAGTGGCAAGAAATAGATTCGAAATACTACAAGATGATAAAGTAAATAATCATAGTGAAGATGAAAAATCAGGAAATAACGAAGCAAACAAAACGATAAACAAATCCCCTCCGATCTTTGTTTACAACGTAGAAGATATCCAACCGTTATAAAAATTATTAAACACAATAGCCAAAAATAATTTTACACTAAAAGTAATAGGGCAAGATAAAATTCAAATTCAACCAACAGCATCAGAAAAGTATCTCCCGATAATAAACGCGCTGAAAGAAATAAAAGGCACAATTCTACACCTACCAGCGTAAAGAAGAAAAAGGTTTCAAAGTAATTCTAAGAAGCATGCATCCGTCAGTTGATACTGAAGAATTAAAAGCTGCCATAGAAAATCACGGACACAAAATACTAAGTATTCATAACATCAGACATCGCATCACAAAAGGACCACTACCGCTTTTCACAGTTGAAATTGAACATGATTATAAAAGTCAGGACATCTACAAAGTAACCAAACTTCTTCACACAGTAATCAGATTCGAACCATCAAACATAAAAAGAGAAATTCTTCAGTGTCAAAACTGCCAAGAGTACGGACATATGAAAAATTACTGTTTCAAAAGTGCAGTATGTGTTAAATGTGCTGAATATCATCAAACCAAGGACTGTCCAATCAAACAAAAAATTAAAGATGTAATATGTGCAAACTGCAAAGGAAATCATACAGCAAATTATAAAGGTTGTCCGGTACGTGAGCAATTACAGCAAAAATTATTTTCTAAGTTGCGAGAAAGAACATTTCAAAATAGCATACAAGCACATGCAATCACAAATGCAAATTCAAATCCAAATGACAATAGAATTAGACCGAACACAACATTCGCACAGGTAATAGCTAAACATAACGGCCAGAATGAAACAGAAATACCAAAACAAACAGCAGCACACACAGCACAAAACAATTGCAGTAACGATGAAAAGTCAATTAATAAACTTGAGCAATTAATGGAAAAAATGACGCAAACAATGGACATACTGTTAAAATTAGTAACCATACTTATTAAGAAATTAGTATAACCATGTCAAATCTGTCAAATCTAAAAATTGCTATCTGGAATGCAAATGGCCTTACGAGAAGACACCTCGAGTCAAGAGCATTTTTAATTTAAGAAAATATTGATATTATGTTAGTCTCAGAAACACACTTTACTAGCAAAAATTTTCTCCACATACCAAACTACTCAGTACACAAAACAAATCATCCACTCGATAAAGCACACGGAGGTACTGCGATTCTAATCAAAATAAATATAAATCACCACGTTTACAAACATACTAGTGAAATCTTCCTTCAAGCAACTAGTATAATCATCAAAGATAAAGCGGGACCGATTACAATATCAGCTGTTTACTGTCCTCCAAACAAAATAATCACAAAGGAAAAATGGACAACATTTTTCAAAACACTAGGAAACCGCTTTATAGCAGGAGGGGATTATAATGCGAAGCACCCGTGGTGGGAATCTAGATCAGAAACTCCAACACCCACAGGCACTATGAAATACTACAAAAAAATAAATTCACCCCGATATCCACCGGAGAACCAACATACTGGCCTACTGACTTAAAAAAGCTCCCGGACTTTATTGACTTTGCAATAGTAAAAGGGATAAACAAAAACTATTTCGAAGCGGCATCATGCCTAGATCTTACATCGGACAATTTGCCGGTAATAATTACTCTTCACCGTCAAGTACACAACAATGTAAACAAACACACAAAAGTGGACTGGAAAAAATATACTCTTTCCATAGATGAACGCATTACGTGTAATATCCCACTTAAAACAACTATCAATATAGAAAGCTGCATAAATTCACTCAACGTACTTTTATCTAACACCATTAATAACGCAACAAATCAACTCCTCTAGAATAGAAAAAAAAAGTCAAAGAAAAAAGATCACTAAGAAAAAGATACCAAATAACCAGATCAAGTCAAGATAAATCAAAACTCAACAAAGCAATTAAAGTCCTCAAGAAAATGCTACAAGAAGAAAAAAATATCCAAACACAAAATTATCTTAGAACACTGAGTCCAACAGAAGCAACAGACTATTCACTATGGAAAGCCACAAAACGACTTAAAAGACCAACAACATTTATACCGCCTATCAGAAAACCGGATGATGAATGGGCGAGATCGGACGAGGAAAAAATTGAAACCTTCGCAAACCACCTTAGCACTGTATTCCAGCCACACCAAAGAATAATTATCGAACGGGAAGAAAGAATTTTACTAGAAGTATCTGATACACAAGATAGCACTCCGATCAAATCGATAAAAATGAAGGAAGTATTACTCATTATTAACAATATTAAAAACAGAAAAGTTCCCGGATTTGATAACAACTCTCTTTCTGTTATATGATTCTTCTTACTTTATACAATAAATCATAATTAAATTACGAACTTGAGTTACTTGAGTATTGATTTATTGAATATACAACAATTGGCGACGAGGATGAACTTATGAATTGATGGGAAATGTGGAAGATGCTAGAAATACTGATGATTCAGACGGAGAAAATAATATTTTCATTGATGATTTCGTGAACTAAGAAGAGGTTGAAGGAGCGATGGCTGGTAAGGGCTATATCGGTTCGATTGTGGAGTATAATTTGTTGGAAGATTAGAAGTTATGGCAAGAGAGATTGGAACAGTTTCTCACGGCTAATGATGTTGAAGAGGAAAAGAAGGTGCCGTTATTGATTACGTTTTTAGGTAACAAAGGTTATGCTTTATTAAGAGAGTTATGTACGCCTGATAAACCTGCAAGTAAAGTCTATGCAGTGATTACTGACATTTTAAAAAAACATCTCAAACCGGAGCCCAGTGAAATAAGCGAGCGTTATATATTCAAAAAATGTCGACAAAAAGAGGGCGAAGACATTAAATCATTAAATAATCATAAATTTGTTGCTAATTTGAAAAAGCTTTCTATGAATTGTAATTTTGGTACAGAATTGAAGACTTATTTGCGAGACTAGTTCGTTTTTGGTGTTTCTTGCAAATCGACTAAAAAGCAACTACTCAAAGAGAAGTCTTTGACGTTTGATTCAGCAGTTTTGTTGGCTTAATCTACAGAAACGGCGACACGTGATGCTGAAGGGATGGGAGAATCAACGGAGATGGCATATTCAACGGCGGTCAACTATGTATTAGATAAGAAGAACAAGAATTGGAATCAAAATGATAAGACGAGTGATCAACAGGGTAATAGTAACATTAATTGCTATTGTTGCGGGAAACCTAACCATAAGAAACCTAATTGTAGGTATCGCAATTATCAATGCAATGTATGTCACGAAGTAGATCATTTAGCTATTGTGTGTAAAGTGGCGAAGTCTTAGTCAAGTTCTTATAGTAGGGGTGCGAATAATTTCAGAACAAACAGTTAAAATAATAGTAATAGCGAGCGAGTAAATTTTCAAGGTTATAATTTTAATAATAATAATAATCGTAGTGGGATTAGAACAACTCATTTCAATAGAGACAATTCTAAACAAAACTATATTGATAAAGTAGATAATTTTGAACAAGAATTTAATAATCTTTATCACTTAACTGAAGATGAAAATAAGACAAAAATTAAACCTCTAGAAATCAAGGTAACTGTTAAAAATGTTAAAATCATGTTTGAAATTGATACCGGGTACCTATTACGGCAATGTCTCGACATTTTTTTGGTAGACAGGAATTAAAGTGTTTAAGAATGTATGAATCGAATCGAATTTTCAAAAGTTACTCTGGCGATACTATTGTTCCGATTGGTTTAGTTAAAGTTGACGTTGCGAACATAAATTGTAAATTATTATTGTATGTTTTACCTGGTAATAGTAAACCGATTTTGGGTAGAGATTGGTTAGATGCGTTAGATATTATTAAAAATTTCGAATGTAAGTTGAATGAAATTAAAGTAATCAATGAATGTGAGAGTAGATATTTAGCAATTGTTAAAGAGTTTAAAAATGTTTTCACTGATAAATTAGGCACATATAATAGGAGAACGTTCAAATTAGAATTCAAACCAAACGTTACACAGGAGTTTTGTAAACCGAGACCAGTAGCATATGCGTTGATAGAGAAAGTTGAAGCGGAAATAGATAGGTTAATTAAGTCGGATGTTGCGGAAAAAGTTGAGTCGAGTGAATGGGCGACACCAATGGTACCGATTATGAAATCTAATGATCAAGTAAGAATTTGTGGGAACTATAAAATTACTTTAAATAAACATTTAATTGTAAATAGACATCCGATTCCAAGAACACAAGATTTATTAGCAATGCTTAAAGGAGGTACGATTTTTACAAGACTTGATTTAATGAATGCTTATCAACAATTTTTACTCGATGATGAATCTCAAAAATTGACAACTATTACTACGCATAAAGGGCTGATTAGATACAAAAGACTCGTTTTTGGCTACGGCACCTGGAATTTTTCAAGGAAAAATTGAAGAATTATTGAAGGGTATTCCTGGAGTGTTGAAATTTTTTTATGATATTTTGATTACTGGAAAAGATGTTCATGAGCATGACACGTGATTAAGAGAAGTTTTATTACGTTTTAATGATGTTGGTTTGACTGTCAGGAAAGAAAAATGTGATTTTGCAAAATCAGAAATTAATTTTTTAGGCTATACGATTGATGCGGAAAGCATTCACATTTCAGAAAAGAAAATTGTAGCAATCAAAAAAGTAGAGATACCAAAGAACGTCAAAGAATTACAAGTTTTCTAAGGTATGATGAATTATCATTCAAAATTTATAAAAAATTATGCATTCATTGTTAGCCCACTATATATGTTACTGCGACAAGATTTTCGTTGGAAATGGACTCAGGATTGTCATGAAGCCTTTGAGAAAGCTAAGGCGAGTTTGAGTTCCGATCAAGTTTTAGTACATTATGACACAAGGTTACCTATCAAAATCACCGTTGATGCAGGCCTTGAGGGTATTGGAGCGGAAGCGTCGCATATTTTTCCTGGTGGTAACTGTAGACCATTTGCATTTGCATCAAGATCACTTACACCAGCAGAACGTAATTATTCGCAGCTTGATAAAGAAGGTCTTGCGTTGGTTTTTGGCGTAAAAACTTTTTATCAGTATTTGTATGGGAGGCATTATTCATTTTAGAGACAGATCATAAGCCACTTATTTATATTTTTGGAGATAAAAAAGGTTTCCCAGTAATGGCTGCAAATAGAGTACAACGATGGAGTGTTATTTTAGCTGCATATGATTATGAACTAAGGTATATTAAGGGAATTGATAATAAGAGTGCTGATTTTTTATCAAGATTTCCTATTAAAAATAATACTAGTACCAATAATGATGAATATAGTTATTTAAATTATTTTAGTGAAGGGGTTAGATCATTTTCATTAGAAACAATTAGAAGTGAGACTGATAAAGACTTAGTTTTGAATTCAGTTAAGAAATATTTATTGAATGGTTGGCCTAAAAGTGTATATGATAGTTTATTACCTTATAAAAGCAAAGAAAAGGAGTTGACATTGGAAAATGGTTGTGTTATGTGGGGTTATCGTGTGTGTGTTCCTTTAAGTATCAGAGAAGAAATGTTAAATGAGCTTCATAGTTCGCACATGGGTGTTGTACGCATGAAGATGTTGGCTCGCTCATACGTTTGGTGGCCGTCGATGGACCGTCAGATTGAAAATAAATGTAAAAAATGTGAGTTATGTCTTAAAAGTGCTAATAATCCACCGAAAGCGTCATTGCATGTGTGGAGTTGGCCAGAAAGTCCGAATTAACGTTTACATGCAGATTTTTGTGGACCAACTGATGGAAAAATGCATATTGTAATTTTAGATGGTCATTCAAAGTGGCTTGATATAAGAGAATTGAATAATATTACAGCGGAAACTACTATTGATGTTTTCAGAGATTATTTTGCAACTTGGGGAATTCCAAAAAAGCTAGTTACAGACAATGGTCCTACGTTTATATCGAAGTTATTTGAAGATTTTATGTTAGCCAATGGAGTTACACACATAAAATGTGCACCTTACCATCCTGCCAGTAATGGAGCTGCTGAAAATGCAGTGAAAACTTTCAAAGCTAAAATTAAAATTCTGAATAGACAATGTTCAACAAGAAAGGAAGCTCTTGCAAAATATTTATTTCATTACCGCTCGTCTCCTCATTGCACAACAGGTGTAAGTCCAGCTGAATTACAAATGGGAAGAAAATTTCGTACAAGATGGGATTTATTGAAAGAAAATGTTGGCAATCGTGTTGCACTTAAACAAGCAGATCAGCAAAAATTTTTTAGAGGTAATAGAAAGGTGAGTTTTGACGAAGAAGTAGTAATGGCTAGAGATTATGCAAATGGTAATTGGCGAAAAGCTGAAGTTAGTAAACAGATAAGTCCTATTACATACAATGTCACATCAAATGATCAGCGAGAATGGAAGCGTCATGTAAATCAATTGCGATCGTGTAATTTATCAATGCGTGATAACGATACTTTACGAACACCGGAAAAATGCATGAGTCCTACGTTATTGTCTCTCAGAATGATGTAACTGATAAAGATAAAGTAAATGTGTGTGAGAATGATTTTGAAAAATGCGTTCAATCAAATGTTATTAAAAATACAGATAGTCCAAAAGTAGATTGTATTGTTCAAAATGAAAATGTTTATGATTCTAAGGTTAATTCTGATGTTCCAATTAGTTTACATCGCTCTTCAAGACTTATTAAACCTAGAAAAATTTTTGATTTATAATGAAGTTTGAAGTGATATTTTTTTTCTAAAGGTGGAGAAATGTAATGTATGATTCTTTAATTAATTCTAAATAGTTGAATAGCGTTGCGCTCTCTTGTTTATCATGAATGTAACGTTAGTCAGTCGAATACCACTCTCTTTCTGTTATATGATTCTTCGTACTTTATACAATAAATCATAATTAAATTACAAACTTGAGTATTGATTTATTGAATATACAACACTTATTTTTAATAGTCTTATCCACCATACTCCCTTAAACGAACTTATTAGCAAACTGCTCTCGGAAGAGATTACCAACACTAGACTTAAGAAACATAAACTGATGAACGACGAACTAGATTAAGTTAATTATACAAAAACTGTAAACAAAAACAACATACTCACTGGAGTGTTCTGTTATTCAGATTGTGTATGTCAAGTAGTAGAAACATTTGCTTATTGTCTCACTATGTGAGACGGATTGTAAATTTACATTTCAGTCGCGATGTCGCCGTCAAGCGGTGCGGAAGTGCAACCGCCTGACGCATCATCGCTACATAAGCATTTCAAGTGTCATCCAAATACAAAAGTAGGAGCACTTGTGTGTTTAGTATGTGGAAATTTCTATCATACGAGTGAAATAGTAGCAAAAATCAATGCAGGAAATGCAATCAAACTAATAAACAGCTCATTCATAATATGCCAGGAGCATCCAAATTTTGCACTAACATCAAACTTGCCATATGGGGACTTAAGTGAACAAGCTAGTATTTTCATAACATAGTTCAAACTTGTAAGTAGAGAACAAATAAAACAGGAAATATTAAATGAGCTTGTGCATGAAAAGCAAATTTTAAATGAAAAAGATGATCATATGGATGTAACACAGATCAATTACAATTACAGATGAATTACAACAATTAAAAGCCGAAAATAGCCTATTGAAAGAACTGTACAAAGAAACAAAAGAAAAAACTGAATTGCTCAATGAACTACTAATTAAAGAAAAACAAAATAAAAATGCAAATACTAACATTATGAGAAAAACATATGCTGAAACAATTGCACTACCAAAACCTAAACCCAAAAGAATACCAAGATTAATAATAAAGAAAAAGAGTAATGATAACATAAACTTAGAAAATCAAGTAGCACATTACTTAATTAAAGACAAAAACATACAAACAAAAAGTGTACAAGTTAAAAATACTGACAAATAATTATCAACTGCATGACCGAAGAAAATGTCACAGTGTTAGAAAAAACTTTACAAAAAAAACTACCGGCACTTACTGTTCTAAAAGAAGAAATACGTAAACCGATAGTTAAAGTAATAGGAATTTCTAAAGCTTTCACAACAAATGTAAAAGATATAGAAACTGATATTAATGCAAGAAATTTTAGTCAATACGAAGAAAAATGCAAAGTAAATCATGTATTTACAAATGAAAAAAATAAAACAGTAACTGCAATAATAGAAGTTCCATCTATTCTATATAAACATATAAAAAACAATAGTAACAAATTATTTATTGGATGTCAAAACTGCAGAGTCTTTGACGTCATCAACACATATCCGTGTTACAACTGCTCAGGTTTTGGCCACGGCGGCGGAAAGTGTGAAAAAGCAAAAAAAGAGCCAACGTGTTATAAATGTGCTGGCAAGCACCAAGCAAAAATGTGTAGTAGCAGCATACTCCAATGTACAAACTGCATTTTCAACAATGAAACATATAGTAAAAACTACAACGTAAACCATAGTGCAATCGACAGCGAAATGTGTGAAGTTTTAAAAATGAAAATAAAAAGGTATATTGAAATGACAGATTATCCAATTCAACCAACTTATCAAAGATATTTTGGTAGAATAAACTTTGAAACAAACACCCGCAAGATATATAACCGTCCGAGAATAAATAACAGTTTATCGTTATCATCATTATCTACTCCAAGTCCAACAGGTAATAAAACCAGGAATACTAAATAGTTTTCTGCAATATTACAATATGGATAACAGCTTATATGATATTATATTTGAAAATGAACATAAAACAGATAATATTGATGATCTAAACAAATATATATGTAAAGAAAATAATATCATTCTATGTATAAACATCAGAAGCCTAAAAAAAAAAATTACAATAAATTACTAGTATTTCTGAAGAACCTCGAAAAAAAAACCATGTGTAATAGTATGCACAGAAACATGGAATTTAGACAATCATGAAATGTTCAATATTCCAGACTATAAAATATATTACAATGAAAGTAAAATAAACAAATCAGATGGAGTTGTTTTGTATATGAAAGAAGAAATCACCGAAATTACAGAAATTCTTGAAATAGATAAATTAAAAATAATTAACTCTAATATTACACTAGAAAACAACAAAAATTTGGTGCTGTCTGCAATTTACAGATCTCATGATTTATCTAAATCTGAATTCCTATTGAATCTCAAAGAATTATTGAAAATAAACAAAAAATATAAAAACAATATTTTAATGGGAGACTTTAATTTTGATATATTGAGAGAAGAAATACTAGATCAAGATTTTTTACAAGTACTGCTAGAAAATGGATATTGCCCTGGACTACATACCATAACAAGATCATCCAATATTGATATTAACAAAGGTACATGTATAGATAATTTCTATGTTAGGCTAGAAAAAGTCAAATATAAAACTTACGTCCTCAACGTACCCTTCAATGACCACTACCCAATAATGATGAGTTTAAGGAATAATTATAAATGTACACAAAAAACCAATTTCAAAATAATAAACTATTTTAAACTAAAAAATAAAGCCAAAAAAACTGTTTGGACTGACATACAAATTATAAAAGACCCTAATCTAGCTACGAACAAATTAATAGAAAAAATTCAAACATGTATTACGGCATCATCTAATAACAATAAACACAATAAGAATAAAATGAACCCAAGGAGTAATTGGATAACTAAAGCAATAATGATATCATGTGCACACAAAGAAAAACTTTATAATAATTGGAAAAAAGATCCCAACAATGCAACAAAAAGAGAAAAATATAAAAACTATGTAGAAACTTTAAAAAAGACCATAGATCTAGCTAAAGAAAAATATGAAAAAAATCAAATCAAAACAAATCAACACAATCCACGAAAACTATGGAAAATAATCAACAACAAAATTGGGAAGAAAACCAGAAAAAACAATAACATAAATCATCTATTAATAGGTAATAATAAAATTACAAACTCAAACGACATTGCAGAACAAATGAATACATTTTTCAGGCAAACAGATATGTGATAATATTAGACAACCAATAAATAATAACATTACTATACCGTCTATGAACAACAACAGTATTTTTCTACATTTAACAAATAGAATAGAAGTTCAACAAACAATAAGAAAAATGGGCAACAAAAATGGAGGATCTGACGGCATCAACACTCAGGTACTAAAGATGATAATAAACCACATAAGTGATCCGTTGACCTATATCTTTAATTTATGCTTACAAAAAGAAATATGGCCTGACGAATTAAAAAGTGCTGAAATTATTCCTATCCACAAAACTAAAGAGAAGTATCTACCAACAAACTATAGACCTATATCTTTAATATCAAATATCGCCAAAATTTTTGAAAAATTAATACAAATCAGGATTACAAGTTTTTTCAACAAACATAATTTATTTTCTAATAAACAATTTGGTTTTAGAAAAGGTCTTAGCACCAAAAATGCCCTATACTACCTAACTAACTCAATATACAATCAACTAGATAATAGTAAATCAATAGCAGCAACTTTCTTGGATCTAGCGAAAGCTTTTGACGTTGTGGACCACAAAATTCTACTCAAAAAACTCTATAGATATGGAATTAGAGGAAGTGTGTATGAACTTATCAAAAGCTATCTAAGTAATAGGAAACAAAGAGTTAAAATTAATGGTGAATATAGTCAATATCAACAAATCAACATTGGCGTACCACAAGGTACAATATTGGGACCTTTATTTTTCATAATCTATATAAATGATATGTTACAATTGCTACCAAATGATAATGTGTTGGCTTTAGCTGATGACACGGTAACTATCGTGAAAGGCGAAACATGGCATGAAGTCGAAAGAAATATGAACTTCCACTTAAACAAAATATCCATTTGGCTAGCATTGAATAAACTGTCACTAAACATTGACAAAACAGTATACATGGCATATGGAAATAACTGCAATAGCAACTCTACATATCTACATATAAATATAAAGGGTGCACCCATTCGAAAAGTTGATAACACTAAGTACCTTAGAGTGCATTTCGATAGCCATATGAGATGGGACATGCATACAAACATGCTATACAATAGACTAAAATATCTAACTTATATTTTCTACAAATTATCTAGGATAATGAGCACAGATAATCTACGTATGATTTACTATGCACTTTTCCATAGCATAACAACATACGGTATTATAGCATGGGGTGGAGCATACATTGGAAGGCTCAAATATATACAAACTCTACAAACACGACTATTACAAATAATAAATAAAAACAAGTTTATAAATGAAAAAAATCCACTAAACATAGATCAAACATTCACCATGGAATCTCTAGTGTATCACTATGTTAACCTGCAAGATATGTTCCTGAAGAAAAATTCCGTAACAAGGAAAAAAACTATACAGCCCCTTAAAAGAAAATTAACAATCAGCATTAAAGATAGCTATACAAGAGCTTTGGCCACCTTCAATCAACTACCTTCTCACCTCAAAACTTTAAATAGCAATACAAAAACACTAAAGGACAAAATAAAAAAATGGATAAAAGGCCATCCATTTTAGATACAGTAATACAATGAACCACAAAATACACTGCAACAATTTACAACAAATATATTACAAACTAAAGCAACAAGGGAACTTTGATAATAGTCTAAATTCAGCATTGGAAGTCCATGTGGATGTGGATAAGGATAAGTTTCTCTTGGATGTAAGGACATATTTGTGTTCACAAGGCACTTGTACACTTCATCACAATCTTTCTCATCGTCGAATGTCTGAATATAACATGAAAAAAATTAAAGTATCAGATAACTACAGAAAAATAATAGAAACAATTGCAAATGTGATTAACATAGCATGGAACTCACAACGGATAACTATTAATACCAAAACAAAAAACGGACTCAAAGAGGGAAAAAGAAACGAAACTTACATTCTAACAAAAACAGATACAACCAACATAAATTTCATTAATAAATGTGAATACTGCACCTACAAACAATTAATTGGTAAAAAAACATATACATTTCATAAAAGAAGAAAACAAAGAAGATCACAAAGAACCAAATACAGATAAAGTAAGATATAAACCCATAGAAACAGTATTTAAACAAATAGATGACATTGCAGACAACAATAGTATGCAAATAGAAACAAGTAAACCAAAAAATACACCAGGAAAACCGATTCTATAAACAAATAATATTCGAATGACCTATGGAGACATCAATTATCTTGGAAACAATAAAGCATTATTATACTTTTATAGAGGTATCAGAGGATATCAAACTTTCACTAATTCATTGTACTCACTGGAACAACAACCTAAATATAAAGATTTGATAGTCTTAGATGACATAGTATTCACAGCAACATGTAAATGTGATTCACATAGGCAGCATACTGAAATGTTCCCTCACTACAGAGTCACGTGTGCTACAGGACTTACTTGTCCTGTTAGACTAAATACATACGAAAGAATATCAAACGCAAGAAAAATGAAAGCATCAATGACGACAATCGTAACGGCCAGACAAATGTTAATCAGATATTGGAGATAGAAGAACAAAATCGAAGATATTGGTGAAGTAAGCTTTTATAGGAAGCATTCTTGCTACCAATATTAAGCCATACCTCATCTGTGAAATAGTATAATCTATTATACAAACCAACTCTTAGTTTTAAGTTTTTTGTTTTTTTCTTAATTTTCTTTAAGTGTTTAGTAGTTTTAAAATACCAGACCAGCGAACAGGTTTATCCTCTGCCGGGTTACAAATTTGTAATGTAAAATTGTATAATTATTACTACTTGTTGTAATATTTTGTACTATAATTATATTATACTCTGGTTAATAATAATAATAATAATAATAACATGGAATTAATAAAAAAAATATATATATACATATATATACCTCTTATATATTTCTTCCCTTTACTGGCTCTTTCCTTTAGACTGTAGCGTGATTTTATGTTATTACATTTCATAAGACTATCTGTAATTATTATTATCTGATGTTAGAAGTGCTGTTTTCTCTGCGATAAAACAGCTTGTCCTATGGAAGGAGGTGTGACGAACTGACGTTACGTATCGTCAGGTACACGAAGTAAGAGCAGTAAACTACGTGCAAAAGAAAATAGAAAGTAAGCACGAGTGTTCAAATAAATATTGAGCTTGAATAGACATATAATAGGCTAGCATAAACCGTAAAATGTAAATGATCACTTGGGTGCTACGACACAGCGGGTCGTAAAGGATGGCTCAAAAAAAATAAGAAAATGAAAAACAACTTTTTTGACGACTCTCAAATCGTCAAAATTTAATGGGTTTTCCGCCGAAAGCCCATTAAATTTTGTCACTATTGCGAACAGCTACACCGCACGTGTGAACCAATAGCGAGGAGAAAAGAGAGGTCGAGACTGAGAGCCAGGGAAGGAGAAAACCAGCCTCCTAATTCGCCAGTGCCCAGAAAAGGGACATCCTTTTTCCCTCCCCCGCACGCGCGAATGGCAACGAGCAGCATCAAACGGAGCTGAGACACCGCATCGCGAGTTCAGACTCGACTTCGCTACCGAACCGTCTAGTTGGCCCTGTTATTTTCTATAGCATCATATCAAATATATTAGAGGCTTACGAGTAATCAAGTCCTCGTTCAAAATAATTTTTGTCTTTTCCTTTTCCCAAGTTACCTGAACCGCGTTTAATTTCTATTTAAATTCGCGTGAATTGCGGGCGTAAACCAATAGCGCAGATAGAAAGGTGAAGTTATTACAGGAGGCAAAAGGGTTCCTTTTCTGGGCGCTAACGAATTGGGAGAGTGATTTTTCTCTTTACCTGTCTCTCAGCCTCGACCTCTCTTCTCTCCTCGCTAATGGTCCGCACGTGTAGCGTAGCTGTTCGCAACGGCGACGAAGCTTAGACTTTTCAGCGGAAAACTCATTAAATTTTGAGGAGTTGAGAGTCGTCGCGAGAAAGCATTGTTTTCCTTTTCAAGTCGTTAATTATGACCCGCCTCGTCGTAGCGCTCAAGTGACAATTTTATTATCGTTCGCGTTTTTGATATTTAAGTATCTAAGGGAAAGTGAAAATATATTTGACGAACGTGAGAACTAATAAGAACCTACGCAGTTAAGAGTAATACGCTAAAATATAAAGAAAGGGGTTTTGAATATTCGCGCGGCTGCCTTACTATAAATGTGCATAACCACATGACATAGGCAGTATGTCACATCGGAATCAGAATTAATTTCCGTCGCGTGTACAAATCAGGGTTGAAACTACCGGTCAAAATTGCGATCAAGCAGTGAAGCAAAGCCATTTATGCAAGATAAGTGTAGAAACTTTATAATATACTAATAATGCAAGTCATTATATAGGTATAGTAAAAGTGAGTTCAATGTAAATCATGAATAGTAAAAGAAATCTAAAAAAAGGTTTGAAAAAAATATTTGGATTCAAACAATATCTTAATGATTTGCAACAGTGCGCAGCAGAAAATCTTTGGGAAGGTTAGAGGTTAACCTGTCTAATACTGTACGTGTTTATAAATTTATATTATAAATTTATCATCAAAAATTTTCAGCCAGAAGAGATGTTTTTATTAGAGGCTTTGGTAAATCTCTGTGCTATCAATTGCCTGTTATGATGAAAGAAAATGCTTTTATCATTGTTATTTCTTGCAGAGTTTCATATATCCAGGTTTGAAAATATTTTTAATTTATGCATAATACTTCAAAAGTACTAGATAATGAGATTTTTATACATTCTAGGCCCAACAAAATTATTTCAAAGCAAAGAATATTAAGACAAATTATTTAACTTCCAATACTTCCAAAAAACAAAAAATGGCAATTGAAAAGGATATTATTTCAGAGAAATCCAATTTCAAAATTCTATTTATTACCCCTTACCAATATGAAAGTGGATATTTTAAAGTAAGTTAAAAATTGTAACTACACTAATTTATATCAAAATTTTAATCTGCTTCTGTTAATTTTTAGACTATTCTCAACAAAATAAATAAACATAGATTATTTTATATAGTGATTGATCAAGCTGATAATATTATTGCAAGGCAAGAAAATCTTAGAAGGCAGTATCAAAATCTTGATTTAAAAATTATTCGAGTACCAGTTATAGCAATATCAGCGACAACAGATTTAGAGGTATTTATCTGTGCATTAGAATACTTTCATTTTGTTATTATGAACATTTGATTTCTAATAACAATATTTTTTATATATTGTATATTGATTGTAACAGTTACTAAAATTATATGAATTAAATCATTAACAAATTGCAGGCTCAAAAGGATATAATAGAAAAATTTGATTTACTGAATCCAAAGATATATGCTATGCCTGTTTTTAGGTCCAATCTATACTATGACACATGGTACATCAATACATTACCAGACCCTTTAGTACATCTAATCAAATTTATTCAAAATTGTTTTTCTTCCCATAATGACAATTCTGCAGTAAGGAGTCAAAGTTTGTCCTTGTAATTAATTCAAATAAATATATTTTTTCAATTTTGTAGGAGAAAGAAAGTTGGGGGTTAATTATTTGTAAGGATTTGGAAGCAACAATAAGCATTGCAAAATATCTCACTTCTGTAGGAATCCCAACAATACCATACTGTATTTATAATTCTAAAATTGATAAGTATTGAAAGTTTAAATATGTTAATAAATTTAAATTATTTAATCTACAGTTTCACGTAAAAAATATAAACATTTAAAAAATGTCAAAGATGTAAAAGTAATTACTGTATGTGATGAAGTTAACATGCTTACAGTAACAAATAATCTTGTCCAACTAATTGCTAGTAAATCAGTTAGGTACATGTTATTTCATGTTATAACTTTTTAATATGCATATTTTAATTGATAATCCAAAAAAATTTTAAACAGGTTTGTTGTATATTGGTATGTTCTTCCAAGCATTAAAAAATATTACTCACAATCAAGTCAAGCTCGATATTTTTATGGAATGTCTTACTGTAGAATTTATTGTCAATTGGAGGATTTAATACATAACTGTACACCATCTTCTTGCCTTAATTATGAATGCTGCATAAAGAATAGTCTTGTCCAATTGCAGTAAGTTTGTGTAATTTTCAATTCACTATTATTACTAATATTTTATAACAATGTCTATAAGATATTAAGTATGTTATAATCTTTGTTCTTTGAAGATGTAGGCATAAAGTTTATTCTGAATATTGGGGTGATCTATTTTCTGCATGTGAAAATTACTGTGATATTTGTAAAGAAAAAGAAGAGGTAGAACAAAAAATAAGACTATTGTTGCAGATTACTGATGATGAAAGTTTGTAAGTATTAAATGTATAGTAAACGTGTATATTGTTACTTTTATTAATCAATTTGCATTGAATTTAGTAAGAAAAAGTTAGAAGAGTCATTGCTTGATTTATCAAACAATTCTATTATTATATGTGATAAAAATATCCAGTACAAATGTGTAAAAGACACAGTATCCAGTGAATATCAAACTAAAAGCATTGTAAAAGATCCAACAAAGACAACCAATAATGATCACATTAGTTTAGATACAAATATTCAGTACAATCAAGAAAATAATGATGAAGTATACAAAAAATCCCAAGCGTTGTTAGCCTTAGATGAAATTTATAAAAAGTTGTTCCTTACGCAACAGTCAACTCAAACCATTACATTAGCTGCCATGCATTGTGATAATATTAAAACGATAGAATCAAGAAATTTTAATAAATCTAAAAAGTCGAGTAAAACAGATTATGAAACAAAAACAATGGTAACAGAAGTAATAACAATTGATGATGAAAGCATAGAAAAAGAAGAGTGTTATGTACACAATTCTCAGTTAGAAAAAGAAGTTTCTAACAGTGATGATGACATCATTTTTATAAAAGAATTAAGAAAACGTCGACGATCATTAACACGCGATTTAAGTTTAGAACGAAAAAAACGGCGTAAATAATTAGTAATCACAAGGACAATATCGGTTTAATATTACTCTGGTGCAATTATTCTTAGAATAATTAATAATAGTAAAAATAGTTGTTAAAAAAATATTTTGAAAGATTAGCATATTACACAAAATTTGTGTGCAAGGTAGAAGTAAATATAGAATATTTTATTTTTTATGGTATGTTAACTTGTAAGAAATGGTGATACGAACAAAACGTCGCGTGATTGCTTTTAAAAATATCTGTTATAAAATAAAATAAACTCAAAACTGTGGACATATTTATTTTATTTTACTTTAAGTTTTATACAGATCGTACAGTTCTGAGTACAACTGTTTCTGTATTTACAATTTAATTTTTCAACTTGTACATGCCTGTCTAACACAATTTACATTAATAACACTTTCATGTTTGCGCTCGCGCCTGTATCAAAAAGTGAACAAATGTATACTCGATATTTTATATGAACACTGTAACGGTCCTTTTTCCAAATCATTACGATTATTCTGTTATCGAAAGCATTTGATTTTCTGACAAGTATAAAATCAATAAATTGACCAAAAATTGATTGAGCATGGAAATGTATAAGTTAATGAACAATTGTGCTTACACAAATGTTCATGTTGTAAAGGACCATTATATTTATATAAAATTATTAATGTGCCTTAAATACAAATGTGAAAGCATACATTCTAGTCATATTCAACTTATCACCTTTTATGAATCTATCACATTCTAAAATTTGCACATTACAAATCATATTAATTTAAAAACATTAGAACTTTTAGAAAAATGTACATCCTCCTATTTTCGAAATTTTTCAATAAAATAAAAAGTTAAGTCCTCTATTCATAAATTGTTCTATTAACTTTGATCTTTCGCATATAACAAATTTTCAAGATAAAAAAAATAGATGATGTAAGAAATTAAGATATTTGAAGAAAATGCTTTAAAAATACCTCATTTTCTTATCTTCGTTTTGAATTTGTTTAGAAAAAAAATCATGTGTTTACATAGAATTTAGGATTGATAACAGCTATTCACATTGGAAATGCACTCCTCTATGTATACACATGGATTAAGATATTAATCACTTCATGTTTTTAAAGTAATTGATGCCTATTGTTAAGGAAAGACTTGTAGAGGTGAACAATCACTGACAGAAGACTGGTCTTTTATCTATACATTGCCACTATACATTCTGTACCATAAATTGCCTGTAATCAGAAAAAATTCTATAAATTTAAATAATTAAGTGTGAAAATTAGTTTTACAAATAAGTATAAAATAATTTTGATTAACAATAATAAATACATCACATACCATTGAAAAAATAAAAATACCTAATTTTTCAATTCAAGATACTACACAGCTGGATTTTTCCTGTACATTTCCATCAGCCTTTTCAATCTCAAGTAATAAAGTATGAAAGATGTCAGCAACAGCCTGAAATAGTTACAAATGAGCACTTATATTATAGACAAATGTGAAAGTGAGGCAACAAATTATTGTCTTTTTCTTTACTTACTTCATTTTGCTTTGCGCTAGTTTCTAGAAAAGCTGCATGCCAAGAATCTGCTAATCGTTTTCCTTGTGCTGTAGAGATCATTCGATCTACAAACAAATCAGTTTTATTTCCCACTAAAACAATTGGTACACTGAAACAAAATGAATAATAATTACTAATAGGAACTAATAACAATAAATAAATTTGAATTAATAACAATCCTATATGTTCATAAGACTTACTGGACTTTGCCTGTAATATCAAGCAGCTTATCATATATAACTTGTACTACTTCAAAACTTTTTGCACTAGTTATACTGTATACTAAAACATATCCATGAATATCCATTGAGTACTGTGTAGGGAATATACTGTATTCATCTTGACCAGCTGTGTCAACTAATTTTACTTCATAATCTTGAGAATTAACTCTTGTACTTTTTGTAAAAGCTATAGTAATGTTAATATGAGTTGATATTAATACAGTTTATCAGTAATATAAATTGAAAAAAAATTAGTATACAATAAAAACTCATTAATGTATGTGCTGACTTATTTGAGTTTATACAAGCAAATTATTTTATGCTTAACATATTCTTTTCTAACTTCTTCAATTAATATAATGATGAACTGCTATTAAAACTATAAATAACATTTAATAAATAAAAATAAAATTACAACTTATAGTGGCTAAATATGGTAATTATACCTCATTTGTACTAGCACAATGTGTATTTTGTAGTTTATAAAAGGAATATTCAAAGAGGAAAATTTTTTTCATAAAAATGGCTAAATAATTGTAAACGCTACAATAAACTTACTATTTTCAATAGTAGGATCATAAGAATCAACAAATTGTCCTTCAACAAACTGTATACTCAGTGAGGATTTGCCTGAAAATTAAGAAACAGCTTTACTTATTGATGTATTTTTCAATTATATTTTTTTAATAAAGAAATAAACTTTTATAAGTTAATTAAAAGGCTTTTAATTTTGACTTACCAACAGAGCGATAACCCATAATCGCAATTTTTCTCTGTTTGGGAGGCATGTTGTAAAAGCGTTTGTAGTGTTCTTACGTTGAATTTGAATTAACAACAATGAAGCGATCTGGGCATCACCTAAATGCGTTTAATCATAAATATTCTTCTACATGCATTCTGCAGAAGCGAGTTTATCGTGACAATGATTGATTCCTGAAAGAATAAAGATAAGTGTTGTGAGTAAAATCAGGCTACGGAAAAAGAATGACTTGCTTATGCTCTGTCCAAAAATTACGTATTCTATCGCGCAATAACTGAACCCCACACACACATACGTGTGCGCACACACACAAATTCATTCTAACCTACAAAACCAACCCACGCATAATCTCTTTACAGGAGGCAGTATGCAGATGTCAAAACATATTCGTTAGCAAGGTTAGCGCAACGTACCTATACGCTTTTATAAATCAAAATATTGAAGGTTAAATTGTTAATTCATATACAATATCAAATATGAATATTTAAAAGAAATCACTTAAAGGGCGTGGAAAGCGAAGCCGTGATGTTATGCACATTAGTTTTTATTTTACATTGCACATGCAAGATGTGTGCACGTATATATGGTACACGTAATATCATAGGCGCGTGCATCATGTGTTCGTGAGCAATCGTAAACAAAACGCATCAGTGTCATGCACAGCACAGTACACTCCATGGACTTTTAAAAACAAATGATAACGAAAATAATAATACCCATTACCTATTATATGCACACAGGCTGCCTAAAAAAGTAGTCAACAACAGAGAGCACAATGTAACGTACGACGTATTTACGGAATATTCAACTCCGAAATTCTACGAGCGACTGTCGAGAAAAATTGCTCGCTTACGCACCAAATGCAACTATACAGCGAGCAGCACCGTTTGCAAGAATGAGATACAGTGCTTACAACAAGATATACAAGAGAAAGATGGAAACACAAACACAAAAGACTGGCAGTAATGCGTGTACGCTGACCATGCGCCGAGCGACTGATTGACTATTTTCCACGAAAGCCGACGCACTATAGACTCGTTCACCAAACCGACAGTGGCCGCCAGACGTAGATTGTAGAGGGGGCTCATCACAGCGCAATTAACTCGCAGAGAAAAACTCTTTGCATCTTCATTATTATTCTCGGATACAGAGTTTATTATCAGATGAACGATGATTTTCATAAATTTGTCGATAGTATATGATTGAACGAACGACCATCTATTTTGATTACTAAACTAAAATGAACTCGTTTTTTTTACTGCGTTTTAATTCTTTTACTTGCTTATGACTCTTTTATCATATATTTACCATAGCCTTTTTCGTGAATCTAAAAAAAATTACTTGCTACCTTTCGAAAAGGTCTAGACACAATAATCATAGCAAAAAATTAAAAATACGAAACATGAATATAACTCATGTAATTTTTTTTTTTAAACTATAATCCACTGATTCTGTTTTATTTATTTAGTTTACTTGGGTTCAAATATAATGCACCGTTGTATTTTGAGTGCATCAAATAATTGTTAAGGTTATATGCATTAAATGTGAATTTAAATGCTTATATGTAATTTTTATTTATTTTATAAATAATATTACTTAAGAATAATAAAATAGCAATAATACATTACAAATGTCATATAGAAACATGAGGTATTATTATTTATTTACGATATAAAATAAAATTGAGATCACATAATATAAAAACATATAGTAATATAGTAATTTTCTTATACATTATTATTAAGAGAAGTATATTTTGTCATTAAAATATATGACTGTCATCAAAATTTTTTAATTTCTTTTCATAGATAACTCACTGCTGATGATTAAATTTTTTAAGAATTAAAAAATTATACGTAGAAAGGAGTAGATAGCGCGTTTTAAGTAGGAAATAAAGATTAATTTTAAGTAAATTAATTTTAACGATCACGTATAAAATTAACGCTAAAGGTTAACTTAGATAAAAATACGACGATAAAAGCCCGAATAAAAAGTAAAAGTTTGCAACTTTATTTAAAAATGCAAATATAACCAGAGATTAAAGTCTGGTAATTTTCAAACACTATGTTATTATTCTCAATGAATACTAGTTTGTCCAGCTAAGCACCAATAGAATTGACATGTTATAGGCTAAGATAGATATGGTAATCTATTAAAGTACGATTTCTTGAATAGAAAATGACTGGTAAACGTATAGTTACTTCACTAACGTTTTTATCACAGCGTTATAACACCGACACCAACTCCCCCTTCGTGGGCATACATTGATGGCGCAAATATCCATATATTTGTTTCTGGATCATATACTTCAACAGTCGAAAGATTTGAAATTCCATCGTATCCTCCAATAGCCCAGAGTTTTCCCATGTTTGCAACAAGTGCGGCACGACTTCTCATTACATTCATAGATGCCACGTAACTCCACCTGTAATATAAATAGTCCATTTAACGTCGAGCTTAAGTTTGAATCTACAAGAATCATATTATAAAATTTACGTGTCAGTTTTGGCGTCATAAACTTCCACAGATTGCAAAAATGTCGAACCGTCGTATCCTCCACAAACGTAAAGTTTTCCATTTAATGTAGCAACTCCTAGACGACACCTTCTAGTTAACATTGGTTTCACAACCATCCAAGTATCAGTTCGAGGATCGTATCGTTCGACCTTAAATAAATAAGTTTTACTTTTATGGTATTTTAACTTTTCATACATAATATAAAGTGCACAATTTGACAAACCGAATCATAAATTGACAAGCCATCATGTCCACCCAGAGCATAAATATAACCTTGGAAAGCAACAACTCCGCCAGCAGAGCGATGCTTATTCATGGAGCAAACCATCCGCCATTTATCACTATCTGGGCAATACCTCTCAACTGTTTTCAAAGAAGTTACACCATCATAGCCACCGCAAACATATATATAATCATTCAAAGCCGCCGTTCCAACCGCACTATAAAATTAAATTGTTTTTAACGTCAAAATATTGACAAAATATTTAGAATTGAATTACCTTCGTTTGCAATGCATGGGAGCTATGATTTTCCAAATTTTTTTATATGGATCGTACACTTCAACTGTTGATAGTCGTTCGGAACCGTTGTAGCCTCCGAAAGCGTATAATTTATTTTTATGTACGGCTACTCCAACTCGACTTCTAAGGGTCGTCATCGCTTCCGATTTTTGCCACGTTCCTTGATCACGCAAATTTAAGAAAAGTAAAGTAGTCAGCGCATGATATAATTGACGGCAGAAAATGAATCTTACCGGTGAACGGATCGAAAACTTCAACGGTACTGAGAGAGTCTCCAAACTTTGTTAATCCACCAACTGCAAAAATGTGCCCCATTACGAAATTACACCGTGGTCGTATTCTTATATTGTCAATCAGATATCGTCGATTAGGTATAAGATGATAGTCTTTAGCTTCGTCCAATAAATCTCTGAAGAGTTAAAAAACAAGTTTATGTTGGTACTTGGAAAATAAATTGAGCAAGCAAATAAGTAAAGACATTGTATACCTGCACTGATGAGAAGACCTAACCAGCTCCTCCTTGGCGACACAATCGACAAGGTACTCCGGAGAAAGTAACGGCAGCCTTACGAGGGCTAATAATTCGGGCAGTTTATCTTTACGAGCCTCAGCGTCGTGTTTAAGCCATCGGATTACGGCTTCGAATACTTCTTTCTCGGAACTGATGTTGAGGTCGTCGTTGCTGACGAGATCGCGGAGCTCATCGAATGGAAGCCCGAGAAACTCCTCCGATTGCGAAACATCTTCAAAGTAGCGGTGTATGTATTTGTTGGATTGGTCGAGAAGAGGAGTGCAGCTGAGCATATCCGCGAAGTTGCGGATCCCTAGGACATTGTGGGGGTGAAATCGCGACTTGAGAAAGTCGGCGCATGCATTTTTCACTTGCAGTAGCCCGAGGAATGACGCGCCGATCATAATGCTTTGAACGTTGTCATTCGTCAATATTATGCGGCCGCTGTACGCATAGTTTATGAAAGCTTCTAGCGCCCTGTGAGCAATTCACATTGTTTATAATCTAATTTATTCAAATGCTCTGTGATCGATAATACGTAAAATCGATTGATCTTACGTCGAATCAAATCCTTGCAAGGTTATTGTTTTCTGTTTACTTTCGGCCATATCGTTAAGAAACATGCCATTGAAGTATGGTATGGTGGCTGCAAGGACTAGTCTATGCGCGCTGAAACTTTCATCGTCGACCTGAAAAAGTTATTTCGTATTTAAATCAAATTTCTAATTAAGTCACCGCACGAATAAATAAAATCGATTTCAACAATGTTTAATGTGTTAAAAATTATGGATAATCATTGTCGGACTAAGGAACTTTTCATATAAGTTGCAATGAAAACAAACAGATTTTCAAGACTTTTGGTCAATCACCAACAAAATCTACACGATTCAAGGCAATACTTTATTTATGATCAATCAAGGCGATGCTTCAAGATTACATGAAATTATTACATTTGTATAATGTATTTATTTTCAATAATTATATGTGATTTCATCAACCTCAATTGAAAATAAAGTTCGTTTGCTTATAAACAACATATTAAATTACATAGCTGTGCTTATTTTAACATGCTTCTCAATAAAATGTATACATTTAGAATCAAAATAAAGAAAAAACAGTATTACCGGTTTTGATTGGAGTACGGAAAAGCGTTGTTCTATTTTGATTAGAAATAAAGAAAAAACTTAGAACTGTAAATCGAATATAAACACTGAGTGGAGCTTAAACCTTTGAAGTGTGAATAAAAGCAGCTAATAATTATCGATCCTCTTTTGAAAACCGTTACCCACATGACGCATTCATAGTAAAAGTCCTATGTAGCGTAAACTGCATGATTGAATGAAATTTACAGGCCAAATAGTAGCTCCATTGTAACGTGCTCCTGGCAAAGTGCCAATAGAGCCAGAAGCCTGTAGGTCATTACGAACAGAACCAATGATTTTCATTGTGATGCGATCATACGTTTTCGTTTTCTAACGACATTTCTGTGTATTGTAATTATCGGTAGTATTATCATTCTTTTTCCAATAGAGCCAACGGTACGCGAAAATTTTATGTATAAAAATGCTCTAAAATACTTTTGTTTTCTCATTTGAAAAACCAGAATTTTAACATTAATTTAAGTAAGAGCAAATCTGCAGAATAATAATAATTATCATTAATGCACACGCGTACAGTATAAAACTATTGAGCGTTAACTGAAAGTATTGAGCAATGATTACATGAAATGATTAGCGTGTAAAGAACCTTAAATGAGTTAATTTGTTAGTAACAAAAATCGTATCGAATGTTATAAAAAGCCAATTGTTAAATTGAAGTAAATATTTTGGCAGACATGATTTCCAAATTTCTACAAATCAATCAAGTTCTATTATTATGAAGTTTGCAACGTTCATCGTGAACGAAAAAATCAATGTTAATATATTTATAAGCTACTGACTATAGTATTTTATATTGTTAGTTTGATATTTAAAGCAATATATGGAGTCAAATCCTCATATTTAAATTTTCGATTTTTTCGTTCACGATGAACGTTGCAAACTTCATAATCATCAAGTTCTCGGCTTGACTGTAATGTTTCAACAAGTTACAATCTTGAAATGCGATGAAATACTTCAGTTGAGTGTATGTACAAAAACCTATTGAACAGCGAGTTTCGTAATGAATTAAAAACATTCCAACGGCACCGGTTAGCGAGCATTCACTTGCATAATTAGCCGCTTCAGTGCAGCTAAAGACAATGGTGTTGCAATCGATGTAAGGCTTCTACTTAATGTTTGTAAGCACGCAAGAATTTTGGGTGTACGTTGAAATGACCATTCGATATATCGATTAAAAGTGCAAAAGATGTATAATTGAAAAATTCGATCTACTTGAAATGCATAGCTTATTTGAAAGAAAAAAGCCTGAGTATTTGCATAAGCCTCGGAACTACAAGTGCGAACGAGTGTTTTGTTCCCATTTAAGCGCGGAAACGAAATGTCGACAGTGCAGAAAAAAAGAGAGCGAAAAAGACTCATTGTAGTCTGCGCTCCAGAGGATCGTGACTCGATGTCTGATTTGTCGTTTATGTTTACGGATAAGCAACAGTTTGTGCGCACCCTAAACCGAGACGTGCAATGTGTGACTTGATTGATTTATTATACAGATCTATCTGTACAATTACACCATTGCCACAAGGAGGCAGATGCAAACATTATAGTAAGAGATGGAGGTTATAATATAGATTACTTTGAGAGTGACATCGCAGAGCTTGCCCTGGCGCCTGATGTGCTCGAAAGTTGGGAAACTGTTGGCGCAGTGCTCGGGGTTTTGATAGACGATCTGCTTGTCAGTGAGCCCGAGGCCCGCAACCGAGTGGGCCGGGACCTCGCTGCTCAAGGGTGCTTCGCCGAGAGCCTTGTATGCGATACTTTTGTCGGCGCGGAAGCGCTGCTCCTGCTGCTGCAGCGGACCGGCCTTCGCCGCCACCGTCGACTCCATCTTGGGTCGGCGGCGCGAGCACGAGCTCGAGGCGGCGACGGCGATGCTTCTGTGACCGTCCGCGCGCACCACTTCGGGAGCACTGTTGCTGCGCGCCGCCGCGAACACAGCTGGCGCTGACGCAGATGCAGCGCCGCTCCTCGTAACGCAGCTGTGCCGCTGGTAAACACCGCTGAATAATGAGCTTCGGCGATTCTGTAGGTCGCCGAACCGCGGGAGGTTTTCCATTTAGAGAGCCACGCGAGTTTTTACTGTTCCGATTTGATTGAGTTTACTTCCTGCAACATTCAAACTTTCATAATTGTGCAGTTATTTATTGTATGGAAAACGTGCTCCAATAGAATTTCTAATCTTTTTGTATTATTGATAACGTTTTAATTTTAATTATTTGAATATTCAACATCAACATCATTTTCATTATATTTTATTATTTTTTGCTGCTCTTGTCATTATCTGTTTCATTGCCGTTGATTTGTGTGCAAGTTTGACTATTGTGATTTTATTGGGTAAAGAGTAGAAAATGATCATGGCTTTGTTCGTTGACGGATCTCGTATACAAGGCCATTGGATCTCCTTTTTTTGTTGACACTGAGATGTTACGGCTAGCTTCTTTTTCTACAACGTGTTTTAAATTTTCCTTTGTTGTATATTTTGGTATTTCGCTTTATTTCTCTAAAATGAACTTTTTTGTTTTTTAAAGTGATAAGTCACGTAACCGCAATGTATACCTGTATGACTACGTATTGAAAATTCAGGTGATAACTAAGCGAATAAAAAACATTCGAGTCGAATCGAATTTTATTTCAGATAAATAACTCTTACACATCACCTTTTCGTGTGATTTGTATCATTTGGAGACTTGTTTTATCGACAACTTTGATACAAACCATTTAATAAGTAGCAAAATCAGTCGAGTTATTCTTATGTATGTAAACTTCAACCTTCTTGGGAAATATAATTTGGAAAAAAAATGTGGAGGAAATATAAAAGTAGTTACAACATAAAAATGTACTCACATGGTTACGATCGAACACTACGTAGAGCGTTGGTAGCAGAATCAAACTACCTCTATATTCGTTTTGCTTGATTCGCCAAGCAATGTAATAATACGTAATGAAGGTCGATTGTAAGTGGAAATCGTTGTTCGTTCACATATTTATTTTTCTACTTCAGCTCGTCATAAAGTTCTCACGTTCTGTGTGACAAACAAATAGTAATGTTTTATTATTCAAGAGTTATATTTAGATAATTTGATTAGTTTGACGTAATTAATGTTTGGCGGACGTTTCATATCACCGCAATGGCACGAAATTACACAAATCACTAATCACATATGAACGAACGTGAAAAACTACGTATTACCGTACCGTAGCAATAGCCAAACTTCGGCACGAGGAGTTAACGCGGCTCGTGATCGCGTAGAGGTGAAATGAAGTGGGTAGAAGGCAACGAACTCCTTTTAAATGATCGTCGACTCCTTTGTGCGCTTGCGGAAAGCTAAACTTGGAACTTTCGGACTTGCGCGCGCCTCTAAACACGGTCACCAACTATCTCTCTCTCTCTCTCTCTCTCTCTCTCTCTCTCTCTCTCTCTCTCTCTCTCTCTTTTCTTTTCGAGGATGGAGGATTCCCCTCGTATACAAGTCGTCTTGCCGTGTTATCAAACCGAAAAATGGCAATTATCTACTATACCTACACATTCTTTCGCTGGGTTTTTTTAATGTCAACCTATGCGAATACTGTGGAGACAAAAATATAACAAGCAGTTTTATGTTTTGATTAAATAAATATACAAATATTTGTTTATAGTTGATAAAACTACTAGAACAATTAATATTATTTGTCTAAAATATGAATTATAAGTTATTATTTTACTATACATACCATAAAATTTCACCTGCGGTTTTTCGTACCGAAATATATTAAAAGATTTTTATTAGCTTCAACATTATTCTAAACTGACTGAAAGTAAAAACATTTCTATGGACTGAGAAGACACATCATTACATCTGACAGTACGCATGTTTTTTTTTCTGGAATGCAGCCTACTTTGTGGAATTTTTACATAATTAATAGTCTTATTACGTACGTATAAAGAGACGTGAAAGGAAACTTTTACGGTCAGTAACTATCAGAATCGGATACGTTTCTTTGTTGTGTTTACTTGCATTAATGTGTGTGCTACATTTGCCATAACGTATGTCGTATATTGCCGATGTCGTTGCTGCGATTTCAATCAACATGGATCATTTGATAATTCTTTAATTACCTACGCTGCGTGCATTGTCAAAAATAATTCACGTCATATTTGTTTGATTTACTCGATCGGGTGTCGCTGTCCAACTAAATTTCGTTTTCAACTGTGATAAACCGACTGTGTAACTTTTATAAAAGATTTTGGCGAATTTCCAGTAAACGTTGCCAAGTAATTTTGGACAAATTCGCCAACGGTTAAAAAAAAAAGCGATATCTTATGGTGACAGCTTGGACAATGTCAAAGTTTTATATGCCACGAATCACATATGAAAAATTCGCAACGACGACGTCGCGTACGATAAAAGACAAACTTACAGGTACGAGGCAGCGCGACAAAACGACTTGATGCGCTGGCAGTGAATTTCGAACTGACGATAATTTAAATGTGCGGCGCGGTGCGGATTTCCATAACTCTTTCCACTAGCGCGCCGCTACCGTGTATGCGTGTGCACGTATATAATTTCGCAATTTGGTTCTTTCAAGCGCAGCCTTAACCCACGAGTATGTTTGCTACGAATATCATTTGCATGAACGAATGCATTAAAGTGCGCGCTAATCGCAATTGAATGCGAACCTAGAAGAAAGGTTAATAAATTTCAGTGATTAAGCGACTGGGATTTGAGCTGCAACACTTTTCACGGCAGTAACTTTGTTCAAGCTCTGTGAATTTGGCTTCGTCATGCAGCAGCCTTGAAAGGCTACCATTTTTTAAGTACAACGGTGTATAATGGTTTAGCTTTCCATTACTGCCCGAAAGACCCTTTTATGTAGCGTAATCTGTCAATTTTTCTACGCTCCAAACGAATCCATATAAGATGACCAATTTACAGTTGATCAGAGCTGTATTTGATATGAGATTTAGCATGCGTCGAGTAAGCGCAAGAGATGAGAGTTTGATACGCGTGGATTCGCACATATCGCTTACTCTCGTCGCATTTAATTATAGCTTGGCAGCGAGTGTTTATACTACTCCAGCTGCTTTCTTCTTTCTTTGTGCGTACCTATTCTGAATGCGAGCAAGCTCAGCCGGATATATTTGCGCAAAAACAAGAGAAAAGCGACACAGAGGAATGCATATTCTTCTTCTCTTCGCGCTTTTTCCGACGCCTTGCCTTTCAGTTGAATCGCTTCTATGGTGCACCATAACTTGCTTCCGATAAAAACTTTCAAACTTTTTTACAAGACGCATTCCTTTGTCTTTGTTATTTAGTGCAATGTGAATCATATGCTTTTTCGGACAACAGAATGTGTCTGTTTATACTTCAATATTTTGGACCAAATATTTTACAATTTCCATAATGAACGTAGATTTCAGAGATAGTGCTTCATAATTGTTTAAAGTGTAAATCAAATGAGAATATTGTATTTACAACGAGCTTGGAAAATATAACAGTATCTGTTCCCCAAACGAAATATTTCATAATTTCATTTCAAACTTAACTTATTTTTATTTAATATGAAAATTGTATTTTCAACATATTTGGTTGATTATAAAGAAATTTTTACAATACGCTCCTTAGTGCATTTTTCTTTGTTTACTTCTATTTATCATTTATTAAAAATATATTTGAGTAAAAAAAATGTTCTGATGAATACGTGTATTTCTATATTGTTTGCTGCAATCTTATTACTGATAAAAATGACTAAAATTCAGTATAGAAACGTTATGTTAATTACGTAAGTGGAAATTGAAGTAATCAAAAATTGAGTTCAAAAAACGATGACAAAACATAATCAAAAACGAAATTAATATAAGAGCTTTGTTACGCATGCGCACTTGGCAATAATCGCTAATTGTAATCACTAGGCCAATCGGTGGATTGGTCCTGCAACCCCGTCCCTGGAGCGGCGACAGGCGAAAGCGGCGTTTCCGAGGAGACAATTATTAGTTTTCCTCCTTGTAGACAGACGGCGCTGATTGACAATTCGCGCCTGAAAGCTGTTACTTGATGGTTGATTCCGACTATTATAGCGGACTGGTCGCTCTATATTCTCCGGTAATCGTAAACACGCCTCTGTTACTGTCTCTCTTTAATGCATTGAACTCGCGTTCTCTTTCTCTCTCCAATCACTAGGTATATATTACGAACCCAAGAGTTCGAGTGTAGGGTGGCTGGTCGATTGAATCCGCAAGAAAACCAAGTGGCAACACTGTAACATATATTTATCATTCAGCATTTATATCGTTTATTTTACTTTTTTAGCAGTAACCCAAAATGTGTTTACATTCAAAAACTATTATTGTGTGATCAAAAGATCAATATTTATAAAATTGAAGAGAAAGTTTGTGTCAAGCTTTGTGCGTCTCTGGCTTCTGCTCCTCTATTTATCCTTAAAAAGTTTTGTTGTATTTTGATTCATTTTTATCAGATGGTATCGAACGACTACAATTTGAAATTACTTAAAATCTCTGATCTTTATTTACAATGGAAACTTGTATTATGCACTTAATCGACAAGTTCATTATTCCATTTTTCTCAACCGACTAACCTTAACGAAAATTCGCGATTAGCGAATTTTCCAGAGGTTTATTGTTGCAGGTACCTACAATAAAATTATTTTTATTTCTCTTTATTCTACTACTTTATATAATTATAAGAATAAGCATGTTTGTGACAAATTGTTACAAGTGATGATTTGGTTATAATTTTTTCAATTGGAATTTGAAATTTGCAGATTTACTAAAACATCTCATTATGTCTGAAAGTACAAAAAAGATCAAAACAAGGTTTCATCCAGTACATGGGCAAAATATCATCTTATATGATGATAATACAGTGGCTTATCGCAAGTCAAGCTTTGCAAATGCTTTGGTTTTTAGTGAGGAACCACTTCTTCCAAATGAAATTTTCTTATTAGAAATAGAAAAGGATGAGAGAGGATGGAGTGGACACATAAGAATTGGTTTAACTCAAATAGATCCACACAGTATAAATAAAACAAACATGTCACATTACGATGCTGCACTACCTAATTTAATGAATATGGGTTCAAGTTGGGTTTTTGCAATGACTGAAAGTTTTAATATTTGGGATAGTTTTGAAGGAATTGCAGGAACTGGTTATGGTAATAAATACAATATACATTGTAATTATTTTGGCAATGTGATTTTATAAACTGAATTTTTGCACTACATAGGTGAAGGTATTCCAGCCAGAGAAAAAAGGTTAATCACAGATGGTGTCAATGTACAGACTTCTCGCGGTCTTATACCTTACAGTGCTTTGAGGCCAAATGTTGTAGGCTCATCAGAAAATATACTACCAACTGATACTGGTAGTCGAATAGGTGTTATGTATGTACCGCAGGCCGGCTCTGATAAAGCAGAAATGCATTTTATAATTAATGGCGAAGATCAAGGAGTTTTTGCCAGAGATATTCCTTACAAAGCAGGACCTTTACATGCTGTTGTTGATGTTTATGGAACCACAAAGCAAGTTAGAATTGTACAGTTATATGGTGGTAAGGATTTGGCATAGTGTTAAATTGTAATGATTATGAAGTTTGCAACGTTCATCGTGAACGAAAAAATCGAAAATTTAAATGAGGATTTGACTCCATATATTGCTTTAAATATCAAACTAACAATATAAAATACTATAGCCAGTAGCTTATAAATATATTAACATTGATTTAAAGCAATATATGGAATCAAATCCTCATATTTAAATTTTCGATTTTTTCGTTCACGATGAACGTTGCAAACTTCATAATAATAAATTGTATACTGTTTCCTTTCTGTCTATCTAAAATAATTTTGATATTTTCTTATACTTTACAGCTTCACTGACACTTCAGAGTGCATGCAGGGATACAATATTACAATACACAAAGAGGACTGGTGTTGATGCGCTTCCCCTGCCAAAAATGTTAAAAAAGTATCTTCTGTATCAGTCACAGTAACTTGAATCTGATTACGTTAAGAGTCTGAAAAGTAAGATTGTGCCTGTTAATACTTTAATTTCCATATGTTATACCTTTTTCGTACATAACTTTTATGAGATTTGTTAGGTACTGCAGATTTTTTTTATTGCTTTGACAAGCATAGTTTGAATTTTTATATTGTAATAATTATCTAATATGGAGTCGCGATTTATTAATATTTTTTTTAAATCAATGTACTGTGAAATACTTTGAACATATTTGAAAATGCTTGATCATTGTTTTAAAAATACAAAATTACGAATAAAGATCCATATAATTTGTTATTTGATGCTAAACGCAATCAAAAGTGAGTAGTGATTGTTAAAGTTGTACAAAGTCATTTAACCTCTAAAGCAAGTCATTAATGTAGATTGAATTAGTTTTTTTATATTCTATGAAAAATGTTTTTTTAGTTATTTAATCATAATCTTTGGTTTGAAACTTGAAATTAGTTTACGTGCTGCAGAGTCACGTTCAATTTATTTCTATTCTCAAAAAAATAGTAAATATTATTATTAAACATTATATAGATGTTTATTGTCTATCATTAAAATGACATTCATTAATAATAAATTGTCTGCATTCAATTAAAAAAGATACAGCTAGGTAAGGGGCGATTCATGTACGTATGGCATAAATTAATGCAACCTATTATCAGATTTTGAAAGTTTCTATAGTTATGCTTTATTAATTTATCAAGCTCCCCCCATACCTTTGATTATGATTACGTGTTTATGGTAAAAATTAAAATATTGACTGAACTTAAAAGTTGCAAATATAAAAATTAAAAATTATGTAAAATGAAAAGCCAGTTACTTTTTAGTATGAAGAATATTTTTTATTTACTATTGTATTTTGTCAAATGCACTTTTTGTAAAAAAACATGCGTAAGAAAGACGAGTATAAGTATGTCTTGTTAAGAAAACAATGAGCAGTAACTTATTTTATAAAATAAATGTATATATAAACTATGAACTTGTATGTTATCCATTATTATACACAATATTCATGAATACAGTGGATTTTAAACATTTTTCGTGATTTATACAGCAACAAATATGTCATTCATTTTTTTCGAGAAATTCATATTCAATTCGAAACATATGGACAGCACAAAATGTTGATTTGTACTAGAAACGAAGATACCAAGTCCACGCTTAATCGTTTATTTTCGTTGTACTGTCAAATAAACATTTTCTTTTATGCTAGAATAAATTTTCCATAAATTAAATAATTTCTTATACAACACAAAAGTAACAACTAGTATCCTTACGAGGCAAATAAAGTGCCAGCATTATAAGGTAGGTAAAGAAAGTGGAAATGAAGGCAAACCATCCAAGTAGTAGTGTAACGTAGTTCCAAGTAGCATCATTTTTTTTGGTATTTACTAAATCAGCATTGTCATCGGCCGATACCTCCAGAAAAGCTGATGCTTTTGGATCGAGAATACTCAAAAGCAGAAGCTGTCCAACCTTACTTTGAAGCAAAAACGATGTACTCGAGCTCAGCCATTTCGGAGCAGGCGTGGTGAAGGTTCGTAATTCCCGCAATAAGACTGTCAATACCAAAGTGAATGCCACCAAGAGAAATGAAGTTTCATAAAATTTTACTGAAAAAGAAGCAGTTCTTTAGATTAAATTTCGTCACATTAATTTTATTCTAGTTTAAAAAAATATTTTTGTATATCTGTTAATTTATATATTAAATAAATAATTAGTTGATAGAAGAAATAGAAACTGCCATGATATGACATCGTAACAAAAATAATTACAAAGAGTTGGTAGAACTCCTCCGTTATATGGAATGCGAACGTATAGATCTTGAATGCAAAGTAAATGGCATAGGAAGCCTATGCATGCAACTATCATACGTTCCTCAGAATGACAATCCAACCATAGCACAATTAATGTCATAATCATTAAAACTGAAAAAGATTTTCAATGATCGTCAATTTCTTCTTTTTTCTACGTTCAACGAACAGCTACTTTTGCTATATTTACCAACAGCCGGAATGATGTAAACTATATCCACACCAGCTTCTCGTCTCTCTATAACAAAATTCATCTTGAACATACTGGCAGCAAAAGTATCATTCATCTTGTAATCCGTAGTTACCGACTGTATAGTCATGTCTAAAACTCTCCAGTCTTGATTTGGTGTGAAATCACTGTATATAAAATCGGGCTGTAAACAAATTTTTATATTTTTAATTTTCCTTTCACTCTTCATTTTTTAATAACTTAAATATAAGCTTCAAAGCTAGTAGAGTAAACCCACAAAAACATTGTGGGTTTACTCTGCCAGCTTTGAAGTTGATACTTAAGTCATTTTCATATTTTTCTATCTCATCCTTTTTGAAAGCATCATAGGATTATGAAAAAGAAAGCTATTGTAGCTGTTGACCTGCGGTTCTATAGTAATTTCGTCCATCGTGTAAGACCAAGAGCCTACTTCTATGGTACAATTTTGAACGTCATAAGGGTAATTGGTGTAATCGGAATCACAATGAGCTGAGTATTTGACTGGAGGTAAGCACAACACAGTTCCATCACTGCTCAATCCGCAACCGGTGGTCGGCAACGAACTGTCTTCGTCTACGTCACCCCTGTTCATGGATTACTGCATGAAAATTTGTCTGTTTATCAGATTAAATTGATCGTACAAACCCATTGTGCACGGTGATGTCGGGTATCCAGATATTGAAACTTGGCACATGCAAGTTACTTATCCCATCGAATGACGACGGATCCCATGTCAAATGAGGATCGGTCCAATTCTGTCAACGCTTTATTAAATTAATATTTGCACATGGTATAAATAATTGCATGCTATTCTTGACTGCAAATCTTTTGTACTCACCATTGCTACCCAACAGTGCACGTCAAGAGTATCCGTTAGGTCATCCTATTACACGCCCCAACGGTAATAACTCAATAATAACAGTTCTAATAAAATCAATTTAAAAATCGTAACTTACGTATTCGATAAATTTTGGCATTATCGCAATACCAACAAGAGTACTGTTCCTTTGCTTGGTAATAGGCTGCACGTCTGGGGCATAATCGCAAAACAAGTGCGACTTGAGCCGAAGCTCAGGCGATTGTCCCGAAATATCCTTGCATGCGGTTGCAAGTTCCCAACCATCACAACGAATAATTAAAATAAAAAAGGCCAAATTTGTTATGAAAATGTTGATGAATTTCATTCGAGCAAACATTCTGCGAGCTTAGTTAAAGACCGTTGAACCGTATGACTGTATGTGAGAACAAATTATGTCGGATTGACGAGGAACGCCCCGTGAAACTCGAAACTAGCGATACGCCACTAGGCTACCCGCCCCCCAACACATTCCAGGTTATTTCACGGTATTACATCTGTAAAATTGTTTTTTTTTGCCTGTCTACGTCTATTTTTTTGAATAGAGGTGCTGATAGCTCATTTAATTACAAACATCATAATAATCTTCTATTATATATCTTATTCTATTTTTTCAAAACTTTATTTCGTAGTAGTGAGCATCGAAATTTTCAAATAAGTCAAGGCTGTACAGTACAATTAGCAGCAATATTTATTAATAATTTTTGGAATATACAAACAGATGCGTCAATTTAATTTTAAGACGTTTTTAAATCGATTGTTTACAGCAATTATTGTTATAAACTCTTTTAGTCTAAAAGAAAACGTTGAATATAATAGAAAAAAATATTAATTTATTTAAGTCAATCACTCTTTACAAAAAAAAAATCGTTTTTAAGAAAAAAGTGAATACATTGCACAACAGTTCGTTCTAAGAGTTTGCGTACTTAGGCACAAGCAGTATAAGTAGCAGAAAATATGTGAAAGTTGTTGCGAAAAAAGCGATCCACTCGACGATAATCGCAAGTTTTCTCCAAGAGTCATCGTGTTTTTTTGTTACTGCAACATTCGCTGACTCAACTGTGTCTTCGGAATCGCGTTCAGCATTAGACAATTCAGCTTTGACATCGGCATTGTCAAGCAAGAGGAAGCGGCCTGCCCGATTGCTTGCCATAAATGTCACTGTGGAGACGATCCAGCCAGGTGCTGATGAATTTGCTACCTGGAGCTTGCGCAACAATGCCGTCACTATCATTGCAAAAGTAGCCAACACCATGGAATCCCGGTAGAACAATACTGTGGACAGAGTTAATCTTCTGTAATCTGTGCGCAATTGGTGAGAGAAAGCTGAACATTCGCGTGAAAGTGCAATTGACTATAAGTTTTCTTCCAAAATACAGAAAATAAAGAAGGTACATCAAAATGTATATGTAACCTAAGGCAATGATCAAACAGAATAGGTTTCTATATAAAATATTTAAATCGTCTATAAGCCTTACATATGTTTGGAGGTGAGATTCCGTTCGATGGTAACATCCAATGAAGATCATAGAGGCACAATATATGGCAGACAAAGTTGATTGAAGCAAGTGAGATTCTTTCGATGGATCTTGAATCCAACCAGAGCACTGTCAACGTAATTACCATCAAGACTGTAATGACATAGAGAGAAATTAGCACGCGAACAATGCATGAAACTGTTGATCGCTAAATAATGCTTAAAAATGGAATATGTAGTTTACCAACAGCTGGAGTAATGTAAACTGCATGCATCATTGGCGAATGTCTCTGAAGGTAAAAATTAGCAATCAATGTAGGAAATGTGTCATTTGGGCAGCAATTAAATGTTGGGCTGTACTTTTTCGATGTATAATTTGTAACCAACCACTGCTTGTGCCCCGTGAAACCTTTCATGCTTATCTGCAAAGCATCGTTCAAAATGTTTAGTATTGTACTAGTCCATTGAGCTTGCAACGACATAACTCACTCCTTTTTTGCGAAAATTGAGACTAATTTCTTCGCCGGTATGCGTCCAGGAGCCCATACGAATGCTGCATTTCTGTTTGTCGTAAGGCCAGTATGTGTAATCAGTATCACACTGAGTGGTATACCTCATTGTTGGCACACACGAAATAGTACCAGTACTGAACAATAGGCACATGGTATTCGGTACTCCTGTCTGCGAACGTTCTAAATCTCCTCTAAGCACATTTTTCGTTAAAGCAGCATTGTTGTTTCCCGTTCCCAGTTATATAACCAGTACACAGTTGTTTGATTTAATCCAATTATTGTAAGCATCAGTCATTAAAATAAAGAAAATCAATATTTGTCAATAATAAAATTAATTATTTGATTATGACTAATGTTGGAATACAAGAACTTATTACTTACGAGTTGTAAACCGAAAAATCTGGAACCCAGATTTCATCACTTTTCACTTTGATCTGGTTTACACCATCAAAATCTTCAGGCTTCCAAGTTAAATGTTCATCTTTCCAGTTCTACCGTGTAAATATTAAAAAAAAATTTTAAACAAATCTCCCTGCATTTAACATAAGTGTAACTGGTTTTTACGTACAATGAACACCCATGTATGAATGATGAAAGTACTACTTCTTTCGACCTGCAATAATAAGGCATAAATAATATTAATCGCTGAAATCTCATTACTGCATACAAGAACGTTAGCTATTAAATTTGCAATCATCTTAATACTGAAAGAAATTAAAAATACACTTACGAAGCCCATGAACTTTGGTGCAATCATGACACTGACATTCACAGCCTTATTATTTTCCGTAACTGGCCTTACCGAAACATCGTATTCGCAAAACAAATGTCTCTTAAGCCGCAGCGTGGGTGACTTAAGTCCAGCAGTGTTACAGTCTAAACTAGCACGACAAAACCCTAGCAATAAAACTACCAAAATCACAAAACAGAACATTTTTAATTTATTCAAGTTATTTTTGAACTATAGATCACAAAACATGAATGATAGATTTTAATTAGCTTCAACCGTACGCGAACCAGTCGCACGAAAACGATGTAGTGACCGCCGATGACGCCCCGTGAAACTCGATCTGCGGCACCTAGATATACGACTGGATGTGACGCCCCTTTAATTCTTACATAGGTATGTTGATCTATTTTTTCACACTTTATAAGTTTAACTTTTATGTTTATGTTCATTATTTTAGAAGAATGTCGAGCTGAATATATCAACTTATATTCCATCTGTGATACGACCATACTTAATCATTTTTAACTCTGCAGAAATACTAGATATCTAGATTGCTATAGTCATTCGAGGCATTTATTCTATCATATAAAACTACGATGGTGATTTGCTGAAAGATACTGAGGCTTACTGGTTTCTGTAAAAACTCAGCTTGCAATTGCTTCGTGGTTGTAAACCTATTCCCATTGGAGAAAACTTGGCCAACTTCATTGAACAACACAGACTCCACGTCGCAAACAACAAAAATGATCTTCCCACATTCTAAAAGGGACCAAAAAAATCGTATGTAGATGTAACCTTGTCCACTGGACAGATGGACTCGTCCCTTTATCAATGGAGGTTACTAGACGCAGAATTCAAAAGTGCCTACACAGTCATTTTGTTCACGTTCGACTCTCCGGCTGCCAAAGTCGAGCTCGTAAAAATAGGTCCGACGTGTTTCAATACGATCACAGCGGATTGAGACCAGTTTAACACTGAACTACAGAACCTTCGACGCGTAAAGCTGGCGAGTCTGCAGGCGCTAACAAACCCGGAAGAAGTGGAGCACATGGTAAATACACTCACTCAGGTTCTTACTGAAACCTGTGAGTTGACCATGCCAAGGAAAATTAGATTTAGAAAGTCCAACTCATGGTGTACAGAGGTTTAAATAGGCTAAAGCGTAGGGTCTTTCGAGCTAGGCGTGCATGCTAGGAGCTGTTGAATGTGAATCCTGCATGCCACTCACAAGTGCGCAAAGAGTATAGCGCTCTCCTGCGCGAATCCTCTCGCGCCGTGAGAAAAACCAGAAATGAATGCTGGAAAAACTACGCCCAATAGACGAATTAAAATAAAAATTGATTTCCGTCCGCACCGAAAATTAGATAAGAGTAGGGGTAGATCTCTCTCATCAATCCATGACAACCGACTTAATGGAGGGGTGAAAGAGGGTAAATAACGATGAGGAGATAATGTGAGGACGCTGCTAATTTTTTAATTTGCATATTGACCAATGACTGAAATTCGGAGGGTGCTACCGATGTCCGAATTAGCATATCTGCCAATAAAATGATTTATTCTAAGAAATAGGAGAAGTAAGAGATCTTTGATCACAGAGAGCCGTTGCTCGTCCATTTTGCTACTGGTAGTGAACTCAGCTGCACGCAGATCTTTTCTACGAGCTGGAATACTGAGCAAATTGGAATGAGAGAAACTCATCAGACTATAAGAAGTAAGTATATGTCAAGTGCCGCTCGTTTAGTGAAAATTAGGTTACCGAGCGTAATTCGTGGTGTTATATTGATTCCGCTGTGATGTGTGTGGATCCGTCGCCGTGTGAACAAAGTACTCCCAACTGAATCGCGTTGACTAATCGCCATTCTTCGACTAACTTAAGCGTAAGAGAATTTAGGATTTGGATAACTCGGTGAAGTGCTGCTCGCTGTCGAGAGTTAGGTGATCGTGCGCATAATTTGTCGCAGGTTTTGATTTGCCGGAACGGGTAGATCCGTTGCCGCCGCGCGTTAAGGCCCCGGTCCCATAGATACGTACGGATGCGGACGGATACGGACGCGAATCGCAACTCTAGTAACATCACTAAAAATATCTAGTTCGATTATTTAGTACCAACACTACCGGTAGTGAGCAAAAGTAACTGTTGTTTAAAACGTACCACATTTAATGTTCAAATGTCAGGTCTACAATTTACTTTTCAAATTCTCATGAATATTGCTTATTGATGAGTATGCTAATGTAAAAAAAGCTTTTGGGATGATTAATACATATCATTTATATATATTTTCTTCTTCTTCTCATATATTCAAGTACTTCCATAAAATTAAGGCCTAATTCCATTAATTGTAGTTGAAAGTCTATCAATTCTCTATCATTTGCCATCTTATAGACTGCAATAATGTAAAGGTTAGATAAGCGTTCATTAAATGTGGTACGTTCGGCGCTACAGTTTTAAACAACAGTTACTTTTGCTCACTAACGGTAGTGTTGGTACTAAATAATCGAACTAGATATTTTTAGTGATGTTACTAGAGTTGCGATTCGCGTATCCGTCCGCATCCGTACGTAGCTATGGGACCGGGGTCTAACTGTCGTAATGAACCGCGCTGAATATAGCCATTTTGACCGCCATGTACTCTAACGAGTGAATAAAGAAAAGTCAAGTTTACTTGGTATCGTTATTTTTGTCTTGCTGACCGACCCCCCCCCCCCCCCCCCCCCCGCATGCTAACTTTATTTTCAGCCGCGGACGGTTTGCAGTGAGAATTTAGTCGAATAATTCGGAATGTTTAGTAGTTGCACGCGCCCGAGATAAGGAGTTACTTCTCGAGCTGCCGGCACCCCAAGGACGTTGAGAGGGCGGAAAGCAAGCCATTGGAGCGGGCTAGAAAAATTAGCGTAAAACAAATCTCTTGCCCGCTCTGCACAGTCGCACAGCAGATAAACAGACCTATGCGCCGATTTCGGACCCTATTCCTGACGATCACCGTAACCAAGGAATAGCGGTCTGGCGCCCTTATAACCTAGTCGCAGTCGGAGAAACGAGTTACCAGGTATTGTGGCAGAAATATTTCGCGTGCGCGGCTTAGACATAATAGTTGGGCGATTCTGTCAAAAAACTTCCAACAGTTGACTTCAGGCCTCACAATTTTCGTAAAGCAGGAGCGAAAATTGTGAGGTTTGAAGTCAACTGCTGGAAGCTTTTTGACAGAATCGCCCAACCCTGGGGTTAAACACCCCGAAATCTTATAAAGCTATATAAACTATAAACTTATAAAGCAACCGTTTTAGCTAATTAGACTACGGAAATTACATGACTCTTCACCTATCTCCAAAATGTTAAACCCGATCCACTATTTCAGGCTTAAAATTACCTTGGGAGTATTCTACACTAGCCTCACACTTAGCATCCTCGCAGAATCAAACTTATACCGTCACTATCATATCGAAGAAAAATCCTAATCAGCAAATACGTAAACAAACTTTCAGATCTCTCCAAATGCATATAAGATAGAGATAAAGATTATAAATTTTCATCGAGATTCGGACATGAACACCATATATGTGAGGTTAAAGATATTGTAATAATGCAAATAAAAAGATTTGGCGTACATTGAAATTTATTGTAAATTGCAATAACTTCAAAAACTGCTAAATTTATCAAAGTCTATCTAAAATATAAATAAAGGATTATATTTCAATAAATTATATGATGATTTCAAACTGTAATGTTGGACTGAATAGCGTTCAAAAATGTGTTATTGATTGTACGTAAATTTAGAGAAGTAGAATTTATGTATATCAGTAAGAAGGTTTCTATATTTTCTTGCTAGTATCATTTGATTGAAATTTTGAATATTATACAGTTACTTGAATAAGCACATCAGTTCAAGATCAGAAAAGTTACACTGTTTTATTATATCATTACAATACAGAACTCGTTTATCACCTTGACTTTTTTATAAAAATTATAAAGGCTGTATTTAGGCTTTTTCCAAATTATCTTGGAATATCAAAGGTTATCGGAATCTCATTAGGTAATATTTATTTTATGCTAAAGTATTTTACAATGACTTGAATTGAAGCATAATATTATTACACTCGGTGAAATGAAACTTAGCGCCACCAACTGCAGCAAATATGACAAATCAAAAATCTCCATGAACCCCGTTGATAGATTTTCAATAAAAATTGTATAAAACTGTATTTCGAAATATATGAATTACAGATTTATATACTGCTTGCTTTTTAAGCTGATAACCGTTGAATTTTTTAAATGATAGGGTTTTATGCGTCAATATGAAAAACACTAGAATAATCGCCACGTAAACTTTCGAATAATGCTATAGTCTTAGCACTCAGCTGTGAGCGTATGTTTAACCTTAGAAGGATAAATTTCACTCTAATATTTTCGTTTTTTAATAAATATTTTAAATATTACATTGACTTTTTATAAATTTTGAACATTTTTTATTTTTCGTCATGTATGCTGGTGGGTGGGAAGTCGTTGGTAGAAATAAAAAAGACAAAAGTGTTGCAAAAACCGGTAAACTGACCAAAGCTGAGAAAAAGAAATTTATAGAAAATGCTCCAAAAGTTGAAGATTTTTGTAAGTTAAAAGTATTATTTTAATTCAGTTTCATTTATATAATCAAAGATATTTCAATTTAAATTTACCTTAGACCTTTTCAATTTTCTTTAAACGTTTTTTGCTATAAGTTAGTAATTATTATATTGCTCTCAATAGAACTTTTGAAAAAGATTTACCAAAAGATTTGTAAAACTAGACATCTTAAAAAATTAATTGTTAATAAATTATAGTACGACTTAAAAAACATTCTTTTAAAATTTCATGTTTATATTTTTTATTGTTAAGTTTATAAAAAAGTGTCAAACTTATCTGATAAGAATGATTGAAAGAAATTTTATTTATGAATTTTTATCAAGATTGTGTGTCTTATGCATATCTTTTTGAAACAACAAATTTTCTATAGTTGAGATAGATTTATTTAAATAATAAAATTATTATGATAATTATAATTTTTAAATTATGGAGTTTGCAATATGTTAGTGACTTATATTTAATGAAATTTTTCATTTCACAGTGCCGTTAGACCAAGTTAAATCTTTATATGAAAATTTAGATGGTAATAAAGAAAATAAGAAGCCTGCTAAAGAAAAAGAAAGTAAAACTAAGGAAAATGAAGAGAAAAAGAAGCAACAGAAGCAACAGCAAGTGGAAAAAAAGAAAGATGAACAATTAAAAGAAAAGCCACCAAGGTCTATTGAAGAAGCCCTTAATTTTGTAAGTTATAATTTTATATGAGCTATCAAAAACAAAACTGATGTTAAGTTCAGTATGTTTTAATGTCTTACAAATTAATTTTAACGTCTTAAAAAATTTTTCACCTTTTAGATCAATGTAACAGAAGTGCAAAATTTGCTAGCTACTAACCAAGCTAATTTCCCAGATGCACCACTGGTTTGGCTAAAAAGTCTTGTAGGTTTTTTGAATGCTAAAATTCCAGTAGAGAAAGATGATCCTATTTTTTCTGGCAGACCTGATGGATATCCTTTGAGTGTTGTTCCAAAGAGTTTGCGTGTTATTTTTGAAAAAGCGATTGATGCTGCAGGAGCTCAACATGCATGTCTTTTTTATGAATTTATTCTCACCGCATTCACTATGGAAATGACAAAAAATGTTCCTGTTGTGGGTTACAAAATATTTGTGCAGTTATTGGCTAAATATGACCCCACATTGGGTATGAACAACATACCCAAGCTAATTAGTATGAGGAACTCCTATCAAAACAGAAAGCCCATTGGCTTATCTTTACTTTGGTCTTATAACCAAAGCGGTAGAGAAAATTTAACAGTAGGTTTAACAGTCTGGCATGAGGTTATAGCTCCTATGCTTGAAACAAAAAACTATTCTAGCTATGTTATACAAATATTGGGTGATCTTATCTCATGGCACAGCAAAGATGAAAGACTCCGACCTGATTTATATTTTAATATATTTGATGATTTTTACTCAGGGAAACTGAATATTTCTTCATCAGTTATTAATGAAGGTGCTCCAAATCTTGAAAAACTGAGGGTATGAAATATATTCTGAAAATTATCCAATCTTTGTTAAAAAAATAATTTCAAAAATATTGTTGCAGTGTATTTTATTTCAAAATAAAAATATAAATCATCGGAAAATTTTCGAAACTTTGCTGACGAAAGTAACATCAAAAGCGTCAGATAATCAGAAAAACGAAGTTTTGAATGGGATTGTAAACTGCCTCGGTACCGATGATCGCTGCTTTACGTTATGGAAGTCTCTTTACATGAAAAATTTATACACATCTAGCATACTATTAACTCACATTGGTAAATATTCCATGACTTTCTAATCTTGATACAAATAGCATTAAATACTACAAGATACCATGATATTTTCGAGGATATTGCATTTTAGTCAAAATTAATAATTAGAATTATTTTATCAACAGATTCGAATTGGAATAAATTTAAGCCTTTCTTGAATATCAAACTTTTAACAGATATTCTTTTAGCTTTCCAATTATCTTATGAAAAGTCTAAAAAGGGTAAAGGAAAAGATGATAAATATCTCTATGCGTGTAAAGTCACGACCGTGGTAAGTTTAAAAATATGCTTACTAAATAATATTATTTTTAACACAATTGCAAGTGAATTTTGATAATTATTACAATTATAAATACCAACTGAATCATGAATGAAGTCGGGACAGTCTTGTGTTGATAAGATGTCCTCTGACTCGGTATGCAAGAACTAGAAGAAATGTTACCTTCTTTTGTTATAACTATAATACCTTGATACACTTATTGATATCAAATACCTCTCCAGTAATATTTCTTCTATGTATTTGCTGTGAACTTAAAATTTTTTTTGGTATGTACTAGTCTGTGTAACATTTATTTCATTGACATAAATATCAAAACATAAGTGGAAATGTGAATCGGCGATTCAGAAACAAGTTTGCATTTGGAAAAGTAAATATTTCAAAATATTTGCATTATGTAGATTTAACGGTGCTTACATTCTGAAGTACGTATGGTACCGTGCTTCTAATAGTTCCAATCCTTAATAAATCGGTTTAATCTTCATAATTTATTAAAACCCATTAAACCGTTTTAATTTGCAAAAAACGGCGTATTCTTCAATGGCTTTTTCAATGATCAGGTATTCATTTTTTATGAAAGATGAATATTTATCTGTGTATTTTTAGCGTAATCATAATAATTTGTTGACTGTATATATAAACATTACAACAATATTTCCATCGAGGTAAAAATTTACCTGTATGTGACCACGGTACATTGTACTATTAAAATCTATTAATAGTGTATATAATTTTTCATAGCTTATCAACTAGCATCTCCAATTTACAATATTGTAATATCTATAGGTGATATTATTTTTTTTCAGTATATACATTCTACAAGACTTAAAAATTTCAAAATACAATAGATTAACATTATTAATTGTACATTATGTTAAGATCTTTTAACGGTTGAGTGTTATTCTGTGTACATTTTCTTATAATATTTTCATGTTATAATCTAATTTATTGAAAATCTTTAGAGCTATAGTTTTATTATTTTATAGTTTAATTGTTTTATTAATCTTGTAATCAGACGAAAGTTGATCTCGCCTTCCATTTAAGATTTTTAATACTTTGTTTTGTACTTTTCGTAAGTATTATAGCGTGTTTTTATGTATGTACACTGTTCCATATAATAATTTCATATGTGCTGATGATTTGGAATACATCGTAGTATTTATTTTACTACGAGGTTAATATGGGTTTTCCATTTTAATCTGCTATCGAAAATGATTTTTTAATAAAGTTAGCCATATATTGGTATTTTTTAGTAGTTTATCAATTGCTTCATCTGCTTCCAGACATGTTTTTTATTTACTAATTATTACTATATCGTTTGCATATGACGACATTGTTTATTGAGGGAGCGAAATTGTTTAAGTAGCAAAAGTATGGTCCTAAAATAGTACCTTGTTCTTTGTTAGTACCTATATATTCTTTGTTACTACAGCGTGTATCAGTTTTTAAGATTTGTAATCTATTAAATAATTTTTCAATAATTGGTGCGGTAGTCCTCGGATTTCATAATATTCTTGTTTCTTTAAAATTATATCACTATCTACTGTATCAAACGCTTTTGCTGTAATGTTTCTATTTCCATTTAGTATTAAATTTGTGACATGAGTCAATGCATCTTTTATGCCTATACTTTTCTCAAGATTAAATTGTTTATTTGAGAATATATTTTTTTTATAAAAATTTGTATAATATGCAATGAATTATTTTTTCAAAAATGTTTGTAATATTCTACGTCAATAAGTAAGAAATACAATATAAAAAAAAGAAACGGCGTCTTCGGTGGTTTTTTACTTTGTAGACTTTGTAGATAAAGCTATAATAAAATCAAGCTGAATCGCGTTCTACTTGAAAAATAAATCAAATACATATTTTGAAATACTTTAATAAATAAAATAATTGACGCACCATTCGGCTGGATCACGATTGTGATTGGTTTCAATATTTTTACTTTTTCAAAAAATCAAAGAGAATCAAGTGTTATTTTCGATGATTTTTTTTCACGAAGATACTATACATTTATCATTGGAACTATCTCAAAAGCGAAAGAGATTTTTTAATTTTAGCACTTTTCAGATAGGCTTGATGAAACCATTGGCACCATCGCACTCTATGGAAAAAATATATTGAAAATATGTACATTTTAGCTGCCTTGAAAATTTGAAAAAATGATTGGTTATATACAAAAGACCCACGGAGAATCATCATTTTTTGTAAACTGAAATGAGTAATAATTTCTTAACTTTTAGTGATAATAAATCTATTTAAAAGTTAGGAGCGAAGTTATAAATAAATTGAGCAATAAGCGCGTTATGTGTATCTGAACATCTATCAGAACCTTAGATAAGATATAATTTTTGTAATTTTTGCTATAACAATCAATCAACGTAGATCAATACTTTTATCTGCACATAATCTTTTCGCATAGTTTGTGAGCTTACAGTGTTTTTCAATATTTAAAATATATTGATATGCTTTTACTCAATTTATGCATATATGGATGCATGGACCTGTAATGGTGAAAGAAATCAAATTGTAGTACGTAGTATTTTTATTGATATTGTGTTGCGCGCAATTATGATTATGTAATCGCATAGGTAGTTATGAAAACATATTTATGTGAGAAATAGATGTTTGCAAAATAAATTTTAGTAGAGTATATAATATATTATTAGGTGTTTATGTTGTATATAAAATTACAAACGAATTGATTAAGTGAAGTTGGCATTGCATAAACTGACATAAACCTAAAATGCAAAATAGTAGCGAATGGTAGTGGGTTGCGTGTGATTGGTTTTGATAAATGTATTTTTCTTTTTGTAATGTTTACATTTGATTGAGTTTACGGTGAATGTTGTATTGTAAGAATGTGTACAAACAAGTAATTTGTGGAACGTTACTAGTTCGATACCCTCTGAGATATTCGTTTGGCTGCATCGCAGTAAGCACGACCAGACGATAACACGGCTTTTTTTCCTCTTCTCTCTGCTTCTCTTCTTTTCATCTCTTTCGCGCGCACGCACTTTAGTGCATATATGCACTGTATTGCCGACAAGGACGGATGAGAAGCTGCGTCATCTTTTTCACGGTGCAGGTACAGTTGAAAATTTGACGACTTATTTTCTCGTTTGATTCTTGTAAAGCGTGGTTCGTGATAATTAAAGACCGGTTCTATTCGTCGATATTCGTCCCCTCGTTCGAAAGGCAGACCGTAATGGCGTCATCGTAATTTTCCCCCGCAAGGCAAACGCCAGTCCTCCCAACGCCTGTCTAGTGTCTGTGCTTGCTCGTTTATCTATCACATTCTCTCGCTGTACGAACAGTACATGAATCAATTCCAGCGAGGTTTGTTACACTGCTTTGAAAGTATACGTGCTTGCTTCGTTTAGTGTCCGACTCTTCGCATAAATATTCAAATCTACGTGTACGTTTAGCCTAAATTACCATTGGTTTTTCCAGTTTTCCATTGATTTGATACTGTTTCTCGTGCCTCCTGGCTGCGCCATCGATTTTTCTCACATAGTTCGGTTTGCGCGCGCGTCTCGCGCGCTCTCTCTCTCTCTTTCTGTAGGTCTATATATATATATATATATATATATATATATATATATATATATATATATATATATAGTATCTCTACTCCATTCAATTCTATTGCACTGCTATTAAATCCGTTGTACCTTTTTCCGTATTTGGGACTTTCCATTCGTGAATATTTAACCAAAAGAATTAATATTCTGTTGAATTCAGCGTACGTATTATCAACAGTAAGCTCTGTTCATTTTAAACCACATATAAGAAGTGAAATTCATAACTTTTAAGAGAAAGTGACGTTTTACTGTTGTTGCAAATCTAGAAAGACTATTGTTGAACTATATGCATTACTATTATAATCTTCAATATTTTATTTTTAATAATTAGATTTTACTTTATAATTATTATGCAGTGGCAGCAATTGTTAAAATCCTATATTTTGTAAATGCAAATGTGACATTAGCTGAAAAATAAATGCTTAGTTTCACATAAATTTTTAGGTACTAATCAAGAAGATGTCTTCAAAAAAATCTAGCAAAGGAGGGTTCCCATGGAAGACAGGATGCTTCTTATTATTGCTGTTTATTGGTGCTATTGTTGCCTATGATACGCATAAACATGGCTCCTTTGAAGGTGATTTGTCAATAAAATTACAATATTAAATATAAAATTGTATGTTATGCTTAAGCTAACATCAGTATATCTTTTTAGCAACAAATACTGCAAGATTTTTGAAGGATAGCGGAATATGTGCTTTTGTGCAAAAAACTTGGGTTTCTACAAAATTGTATGCTGATAAAGGACGTGGATATATAGAGTCAAGCTCACCAGAATATTATAAAGCTGTTATTGATTTTTCTAAACCTTATATTAAATTAGCTGAAGATGTTTATCTTGTTCTGAGTAAAATTTTTATAGAACTATATGACAATGTTTCAAATTATATAGTTATAACTAAACCACTAGTTCAACAGACAGTCAGTATTCTGTTTCTATTATAATAATACAAATGTTTTTATGTGATTGTTAATTGAAAAATGCTTTTTCTACAGATTGAACAATATGTTCCTGGTTTATTAGATTCATTACAAGAGGGAATTTTAAAAGGAATAGACAAATTGAAAGGTTATTCTGTGTTGATCACAGAGCAGATTGTTGAAAACTCTTTCAAAGCAACTAGGTGGCTGAAAACTAATGTTTTTATGTAAGTATAAAATTTGATGGTGAGATTTATTGTTTAAAGTGTCTTGTTGATTTTTATATTGTTATTACAGTGGCAAGTTAAGTCCTGAAAACTTACAAAATTATGCAAGTCAGGCAATTAACACAACACAAGCATTCGCTAGCCAAACATACAATTGGGTTTATGAAAAAGTGCAAACAATTTCCAAAGTTGATTAAGGAAAACTTTGAAAAATAAATACAACAATTCCAATTGTAACAAAACTCCTATACATCTAAAGTTTATAGAGCTGGAGTTTTTGTTGCATAATTTGACGGTCATGAATCAACGGCCATTTTACCTGTGATATTTGAAGAGGATGTATCTTGTATCTTTGATACACATTGCAATAGCATTGAAAAAAATTAGTTGCTTAACTATGATTTTTTGATAGTGGATACAAAATGGCAAGACAGTTTTGAATTTGACATCTTAGAATGACTGTTAAAGGAATTAGATGTATATCAAAGAAACTCTCTGACAATTTTTTTTGTATTATAAATGTATTTCTTTACAAATGGATTGAAAAGACGTAAAATAAATAATTTTTTTGTATAAAATGACTATAATATATTTAATTATCTTATTAAGAGCTATAGAAACTAAAACTTTAATAAATAACTTAAAAGAATAATTTAAACGTAAAAGTGAAATTAATTTATACATTATTACTGATAATAAAAGATAACGATTGTTTTGATAATCGACATGTGACAAAAAATAGACAAGAATATGTGTAGAAATTACATCGAAAGAGATCCTTCAAATATATTGAGGTTTACAATTCACGTCGGCACAACATATCGCATATGTGATGATGCACGATCATCTTGTAATTGCAAAAGCACTTCTACGAAGTCAATACTTTGTATTCCATCACTTTCAGTGTAAATTCAGTTTTGTATAATGCACATTTCGTTTGTATACAATAAGATGCACTTTTCATTGTACAAATATTTGCAGGCTTATAAATGCAATTTATAGCTCATAAGGAAAAAAAAGCTTCATAGTGTTCTTGTATATTTGATTACAAAGATATTCTTCTTCTTCATCTCTCACACTTGCAAGAACTTCCAATATTTGACTGTAAAAAAATTAAAGAAAATTTTTATAAATAATTCGAAGTTTTTTTCAAGTATTTCCGCATGTGAACTAATTTTCAAACACAGATGAAATAATCCTTACACAATATTTGAAGGCTCGTTTCGGCCTTTGACCATTTTATCTGGCTGCCATTTTTCCTTTTTGACTGAAGAAAATTGTGTTACTACATCTTTGGCTGAAGCATGTGTTGGCCTAATTTCGCACCATGGGCAATCTGTTTCTATCACAAGTCTGTCTGACGGTATTGTCGTAACAACAAAAAGATTTTCTTCAGTCTTGAGTGAACTAAAACATTTTAAAAATAAAATCTATGTCAGCAAGTTTTGATGTGAAATTTACAAACAATAGTTTAATTGGGAAGTAATTACAAATGTATTGAAGAAAGAAAATATTGTTCATATTTACCATCCATTTATTCCTATGTATAGTCCTAATTGTAACATACTGTAGGCATCTTCGGTATTTCCATCAAAAGAGTGAACAACACCTGCTGTCAATCTTTCTTTGTGTTCTCTCAGAATACGTACAAAATCATCTGCTGCATTTCGACAATGTAGAAACATAGGTAATTTGAGTCTTGAACATAAAGACAGTTGCATTTCAAAGTATTTTTTCTGAGTTTCTTTAGAGCAAAATTGAAGTCTATCATAGTCAAGACCCATTTCTCCTATTGCTATAACTTTATCTTTATTGTTCAAAGCTAATTCACACAGTGCATCTAAATAAGCTTCTGGATCACCTGATTCTTCAAATTCATTACATCTTGTTGGGTGGCAACCTACCGTTGAAAATAATCTATCTGTAAAATGGAAAAATAGATGAATTATTTATTAAAAAGAATCTATTATTGTATATAAAATTCATCATTGATAAACAAACCATCAGTTTTTGCAATTTCTAAAGCTTTTTTGCTTTCTTCCAAACTGCCAGCAGTAATAATAATTTTTGAGAGATTGTTGTTCCAACTGCGCTCTAATACTTTGTCAAGATCTGGTTGATGCTTTTGGATACCATTATAAATACCCTGGTACATAGGATCTGTTAAATTAGCTCCAATGTCTGACAAAAAGAAGTGTTTTTTTATTATTGCATTTTACTTTAGCAAATATTATGGCAACACATACATTATAAATTTCTTGAATTTAACCTCAAAAATAAACTGATTTATTATAGCTGTATGATAAAATATGGAAAATAAAAAGGGTTATATCAATTAATTTTACCTATAAACTTCCTCAAATTGATCATTGTCTTTCTTATCATAAAAAAGTGTCACTATTAAACAATTCGGAAATAGATCGCCACTTTGCTATTATAGATAGGGGGCGTCCTAAAAAAGGTTGCAGGCAGCAGGTGTTTAAGAGAAAAATGTAGTTTACCCTCGTTCGATCGTCAGGTAAACAAATCCAATGAACGATTGTATATACATAAATACACTATCTTGAATTTTTGAATTTAGTCTTAGAGATAGATATATTCATCTCTCTCAGATAATATTAATAATTTTTTTTATGATACATTTAAAAATATACTAATATTAGTAAATGGTAGAAAAATTATCGATAATCCTGTCACTGTTATTAATTACAAGAATTTCAACTACAAATTTATTAAAAACTATTAATTTTTAAATATGGAATATATAAAATTTTTAAAAAATAAGGAAACTGAAAGTCACCAAAAAAATAATGACAGAAAAAAATTACATGATTTTAAAAGAATATGTGACAGATTGAAGATCATTCTAAAAAAAATAAAGAAATTTTAATAATATGTAATGGCAACACAATTTCGTCTATGGAGCTAACATAAATTCTATTTCATTGTAATTAAGTAGAAGCGTTTTATTTTTTCACACAAATATACATAAATTGATAAAAATGACTATGCATTTTTTTTAATAAACATTGGCATTGCATTTCTATACCAATGCAAGCATTGTAAATTACTCATAAGCATCATTACAAGCTTTTATTTCGCATTTTTCGTGAAGTCTTGTGAAATTTAATATAACGTTTCATTTTATTCTTCCTTAATTAATTTTACAACTCTTGTTTTTTGTTATAAATAACGTTGACAATAGTTGATGAATCAATACAAAATTTCAATATTGTACATTCATTCATCTATAAAATATTATTTTTTCGAAATTTTGCAATGAAGATAGAAATTTTCATCTGATTTTGATTAGAAATGTTAGCATTTTTTATAAAACTTATAATGCATAAATGCTTGTACTAAACTAAAATAACACTCATCATTGCAAACATTCTGTAAAAATTTAACTATTTCTGATTCATTTCTTCATCTCTCATTCTGTTTACACTTAAGACAATTTATTGTAATGATTTCACAATGTTATTGATTTTTTCCACACAGTCCTCTTTTTTCTTAGCAATAGCTGATTCAGCTTCAACAAATGCTTGGCGATTGATTTTCCCAGGTACTAGCTTATCAACATAAAGGGATTGCTGTTGATTATAGAGCTCTTTCAATGTTCTATCATGTTTTTGGAGCTCTTGTACTCTATCATGAACATCTCCAGATTCCCCTTTAAGTTTTTGTGCTGAAATTTTTAACAAATAAATAAACCATTTATTTTGTTAAAGTAATTAGAAAAAATTAAAATATTTATAAATAAAAAATTAAATTGTTTAAAGTATTTAGTTTATGTGAATATTCTTACCTAGTTCTGCAACTGCTGCAGTAGCCATTTTATATTCTTGATTAATATTTTTTATGGTTGACAAAAAAGTATTGACATCTTTGTTTGTTTTCAAGTGATTCAACTGATCATCTAAATCATTATAAGATGAAACTCTTCTATCTTGTGCAGCTAAAATTTTTTCACATTGACCAGCAACTCGTAGTTTACTCTCCGAGATCTCATCTTTATCTATAGAAAAGTCTAAGCGTACATAAACAATCACAAGTATAAATAAAAGATAAAGGGCTACAGCTACTAGAAGAGGCTCTTGTAGCATCAATAGCTTTGGAAATGTATATTTCAATCTGAAGTTTTGTATATGACTTTCAACTAAATTATTTTTTGTTACTGATATGACTGGTCGGCCAGTAGTATCTAGATAGGTATAATGAAGAGAATCAGTTAATCGAGTAGCTTCATATGGCAGTTCTAACATAATACTATGAGATCCTTCTGGTAGGATGATCTTAACAACCATGTCATCAATAACCATATCATCATATATGTGATCTATTAGTCTCATATCAAGAATGTATTCATCTCTGGAATTGTACAGATATTCATAACTAGGTACATTGTATCCAATTGTATAGCGAGTCTTCCATCCACCAAAAAGTGGAAAACGAGGTCTCAAGTTCAATTCAACAGAATCTTTCTTAATCCTGGTGTGAGAAGTTGAAATATTACCGATTTCATCTCTGTAGTATATATCTGAAGCAGCAGCTGGTAAAACTGTATCGAAACTTTGTATACTTGGTTGCCCTGACTTTGATTCTCTTGCATATTCATACCTAGAAAAAGAACCTGAAATGATAAATTAGATTTTTCAGTATTATTATAAATAGAAACTTCATAATTATGATAAAAGAAAATGAAGAACAAAATTCATTTCTTTTTTTCCTATATTTCAATGAGATGAGACAAAAATTAAATTAACAAACCTTTCAACAGTGCTCCTGTATGTAGCAAATCAATAGTTTCTTCAACAGCAATATTGCCCCAGTGGGATATTTCAATACTCCTTTCAAGTTTTGTAACAGTTAAAAATTTATTATTATTTTCAAAATGTACTGTTAATTCATCTTGTACGAATGGAACCTTTTTATCATAAGGACCATAAGTAATAGTAGAATCACTTTGAGTAACTGGTTTAATCTTGGTGTAGCTTTCAATATTCCTAGAAGGTAGCATGACTGTAGTAGTTTGTTTGTTGACAGAGTATGGTGTAAACAAATAAAGGTTTCCTGTATATTTAACCAATTGCTTTTCCTTCTGTGATATCTCTTTAGGATGTGCTATAAGTTCGTGGGTAAGAATTACTTCAACTTCAACAGAAACTGAGCGTTCTGGCTGCAGTGGATCTCTCAATCCAATAGAATAAAATAATTTGTCAGGATGGGTCTTGCTTAGTTGTGCATCTTTAACTTCTTTAACTTTAAGCTCTGGTCTGCCATGCTCTCTGAGCAATGCAGATATGTAACTGAGATAGGCCTTTTGCTTGGCATCCACTGCAAATAGAAAACTGCGTACTGCACTCTTACCATTATTTTCAATGACTAGTTTATTCGTTATTTTAGTTATTTGCGAGTGCAAATCAATAGTTCTGTCAGCATTTTTGATGTTTAAACCGGGATCGATAAGGTTACAACATGCCAAAGTTCCAGTAAGCAACAGAAAGTAAACTGCTTTTGAGAAAAAAGTCAACGAGTTCTGAGACTTCATTGTTGTTGATTAAAAATAATCTTCTTGAAAATATAAATTATTGAAAGAATTTTTTTCAAAGAAAACTACTCAAATCAGCATCGGCTGCAGCGGCGTTTTTGTCACCACTATTTTCTTCTTACCCCTCTTAAAAACATGGACGTGGCGTAACGGACGTGGCCGGCGTATGATAGGATATCGGTATTCGGTATATCATTCTTAGTTTGCTACTCCTTGAATTTAGCGCTGAATGGTGGGTGTCCGATATGGCATGTGTGTGCGTATATATATATATATATATATATATATATATGTGTCATGTATGCTAGCTCTAGTAGCACTCTGGTGAATATCTAAGGTTTGTTCGTCGTCTCCCATGTATAAGCTGTTCAGTATTTAATGATTTTGATAAATTAACTATCTATAATTATTCAAATGAAAACTTGTAGATTACTAGACAAATTATAATGCAGTTTTATATTTATTTTAATAATACTATTACTTGTGTAACAATTCAAAAATAAGCAATAAATTTTGATTTAATCTAAAGTTCAAAATACGTATATATAGGATTATTACTAATATTAACGACATTATTCTTGCTATAACGATACTCTGCTTAGTCTATGAGAGTAGCAAACTCAGCAATTTTCTCTAATAAAAGTTTTACCTAATCCCAGGAAAACTTCTGTTAAGAAAAGTTCAATGTTGAACTTTTTAAAAATTATGTCAAAGAGATTTCTTCGAAATAGAAATATTCTTACATCTGCAACGATACTCTTCGCCTAGAACTCTTATCAGCATTACTAATCTCTGATAAATGGTAAAGTTTTCCTGATGGCTAATTTTCAGGTGGTAATAATTCAGCTAAATTAAGATAACCAAGTGAATAATTTCAACGGCCTATCAATTTATATCATATTTATAATTCAACTGTTCAATATCAAGTATAAATTTTAGTTGAACGAATCAGTTGGTAAAGTAGAACTAAAAGGGAAGCTCATATCAGCTGAGAGGCTCAGTGAATAGACCTTATATATTGAAACGACCCTGGCAGAAAAATGAATGATTTAAAAAAAAAAATATACCATTAGCTTCGCCTTAATTTGTACCATTCGAAAATTGCTTTTTTGGAATTTGTACCCTCTCTAAAAATAGAGAAAAAAAAGATTTTCGTAGGGTAGATTAGCAATTTAAATTAACGTATTACTGCGCATGCGCGGCGGAAAATCAATCTTCCAGCAGAAAAATATGTGATTTAAAAAAATATATATGAATGCCTTCTTCTTAATTTGTACCATCTAACAAATACATAAAACTAATTTGTATCCTTGTAGAATTTGAATAATACAATGTTTTTTGTGCGATTGTAATACTGATAAATTTTACAGGCAAATCTTTTATTTCTTAAGAAAAAAATATATTTCTAGCTTTACCTTAAATTTTACCAACTGAAAATAGTTTTATTGTAATTTTTACACTCTAAAATTTAATTAGACATGTTAATATACAAAGTCCTTATTACTGATTAAGGCAAGGCTGGTGGTGTATTTTGTTTTAGGAAATAAATATTTTTCCTATCAGAGTTTCCTACTTTATCATCCGAGTAATCAGCTGTTTTTGCGGATGTAGGAGCTTATAAGAACACACGTTAAATTAGGACATTGTATATTAACATGACTAATTAAATTTTAGAGTGTAAAAACTACAATAAAACTATTTTCAGTTGGTAAAATTTAACGTAAAGCTAGAAATATATTTTTTTCTTAAGAAATAAAAGATTTTCCTGTAAAATTTATCAGTATTACAATTGCACAAAAAACATTGTATTATTCAAATTCTACAAAGATACAAATTAATTTTATGTATTTGTTAGATGGTACAAATTAAGAAGGCATTCATATATTTTTTATTAAATCGCATATTTTTCTGCTGGAAGATAGATTTTCCGCCGCGCATGCGCAGTAATATGTTAATTTAAATTGCTAATTTACCCTAAGAAAATCTTTTTTTTCTCTATTTTTAAAGAGGGTACAAATTTCAAAAAAGCAATTTTCGAGTGGTACAAATTAAGACGAAGATAATGGTATATATATTTTTTAAATCAATCATTTTTCTGCCAGGGTCGTCTTGATACCTTATATTCTTTGGACTTGGAAATTGTATATAAGACTTGAAGTGCGTCCCTTGGCTAGGTAAAATATCATAACCCGCCGCTGACAGTGCTTAACTAGATTTGATAGATTTTCTTTGTTTTGATACAATCGGTATTTATCATAATGATGAGGTGCTGATTGTTTATTATTTCATTTTTCAAATTCCATTTGATTTATTTCCAATGAGTGGTGAGATTTTTTCTGAAGCTAGGTTAAGAACCAAGTTGAAAAGTCAATTTGGTCATAATGACTTCAAAAGTGATGTTCAGAAAAAGGCGGCTGTAGCTGTATACAGAGGTAAGTTACTTTAATTTTTTTTATGATTATTATTAAAAATGTGTATAAGAAAATGTACAAACATTATTAATTTATCATCTCACATCTTATTTGTCAAGTAAAATATTACTCGTTATTTTTTAAATATTCTAGAGTTTAATTTAATATATGTACAATATAAAAGTAAGATTTTATTACATATATTTTTCTCTAATAAAAAAATGTATCTGTTATTATTGCATATTCTTTTATTACTATGAATGAACAGGTAAAATAAAAATATTTTATTTTTTAATAATAATGATTGATTGATTTATACAAAATAAAAATAATAAACACAATTAAAATTTCATAATATATATTTTAATAAAATATTTTTGTTCATTTTCAGGAGATAAAGATGTATATATTTGCATGCCAACAGGATCGGGAAAATCATTGTGTTTCCAATTACCAGCTATAACAAAAGAAAATTCTTTTGCTATTGTCATTTCACCTCTCATAGCATTAGTAAAGGTTATTATCAAATAATAGAGCTATGAAAACATTAAGAACTTATTTGCAACTTTGAAAATTACTTAGAAATTAATTTAATACATGTAAACTATGTTTTAGAATCAAGTAGATTATTTGAATAGTAAAAAGATTGAAGCACATGCCTTGAATAGTAAAACTACAAAAAATATACGAACTATTATAAAGAATGATATGCTTTCTAATAAACCAAAAATGAAGTTGTTATATGTAACTCCTGAATTATGTGACACAACAGCTTTTCAAGTAATAATTTTATTATGTTTTGGCAATTATCAGATTTCTTACTTTCACTTTTTTTATATTTATTTCCATTATTTGTTATTTTCTAGCTTTTATTAAGTCAAATAAAACCAAAAGTGTTATCGTATTTTGTGATTGATGAAGCACATTGCCTTAGTCAATGGGGCCATGATTTTAGACCAAGTTATAGGAAACTTAGTCAACTTAGAGAAAAGAAACCTGAAGTACCAATAATAGCATTAACAGCTACTGCTGCTAAAGAAGTGAGTAAATTATTAATCTAATTTATTTTAGATATCTTATTATAGTAGCTCATTACTTAGCTAAATTATTTTTTTGCACTGATTGTTATATAAAAAGTATTTTATAATTTCTTATGTTATTCCAGGTCAAAGAAGACATTTTAAAAACATTAAAAATGAAAAACTCACTTGTTTTTTCTACACCTGTTTTTCGATCAAATTTGTATTATGATGTTTGGTTTATTGATACTATACCAGATCCCTTTGAACACCTAAAACAATTCATTAGCAAATCATTGGATTTAACTAATAATTCAATTCCAAAAGTAATGATTACTTTCTAGTCAAAAATTTCTTTATTGGTAATACATTTTATAATAATAAGCTTTCCACATTGCTTTGATAGGAAAAAAGGAATTGTGGTATAATTTACTGCCGAAAAAAGGAAACAACTGAAACATTAGCAACCAAATTGAGTGCAATGGGAATACGAACTCTTGCTTATCATGCAGGTTAATATTGCATTTAAAAAATCATAGAACAAAATATAAATATAGCTTCAAAATTATAAAATATCAAATGTCTTTTATGCAGGTTTGAAAAGTAAAGAAAGAATTGAAGTTCAAGATTCTTGGACCTCAGGTAACGTCCCAGTTATTGCTGCTACATGCAGTTTTGGAATGGGTGTAGATAAAGCATCAGTTAGGTATAAAATATATAATGAGTTATATACCTAATAACTAATAAAATATAATTTTTGCATTTAAAATTTGTTTGTGTAACAATTTTTGTTTATTTATTTTACAGATTTGTAGTACACTGGACAATACCCCAAACAATTGCAAATTACTACCAAGAATCAGGTAGAGCTGGTCGAGATGGAAATCAGTCATACTGTAGAGTATATTTTAGTCGTGAAGAATATAACGCCATTAATTTTTTATGTCAAAATGCTGCTGAAGAAGAATTACAAAACTGTCAAAGTAGACAAGACTATCAAAGAAATAAAGTCAAATCATTTAAACAAATTGTAGAAAGTTTTACTGCAGTCAAGTAAGAAATTTTTAAATATGACATATTTAATATACTCAATCATTGAATAATTAACAATAACTTTATATTAAAGATGTAGGCATCTTTTATTTTCAAAGTATTTTGGGGATCCAGCTCCACAATGTGTTGATAGGTGTGATGCTTGTAAAAATAAAGATGTAGTTAGAGAAAGGGTAATCCAATTTGAAATTGCGAATCAATACAAACCAAAAACTAAAGAGCATCTTGACAGTTTTGGGCTGGAAAAATTCGAAAATTAGTGAGCAGATAATAATTGTTCATAATATACAAAATTAACAATTCTCTATTCAAAATATATTTAAAAAAATGGATTTCATGGTATTTTTTTAGTGAATATGACACAGATTCTGGAAGTTCTGTAGATAGCGGTAGGAAAGCTTTAGATAAAAAAGCCCAAATCGAAGAAAAACAATTTATTAATGAGCAATTTCAATTGCGAAGAGGTGGAAAATTACAAGATCTTGAGGTAAATATTAAAAAATTGATAGATATAACTATTTTCTTGCGTAAAAAAGACATAAACGAGTAATTTTTCTTTGTAGTTGAGAAAAATAAATTTAGAATGTGCCAAATCTTCATGTGTTCTAGCTGCAGAAAGTACAGATATAAAAATTAAAAGATTAACCGTGAAGGTAACATCTTTTTTATTTCAATTATCCGCAGTATTTATTTATAACTACTGTATGATTTTATTTTTTAGTTGAGAGAATATTTTTATGACAAAATCAATTCTTGCTTGTTGGAAAATGTTAAAGTATGTAATAATGAAAATGAAAGATTTTTAACTGAAAAAGAAATCAATAATATCGCTCGTAAGCTTGAGTACAATATTGTTTGTGCATCAAAAGCACTTCCTACGTATCGAAATTCAATTATTCAGAAGGTAATTTTACCTATATAAATTTCTATTATATTAGATTCCATATTATGAATTATTTAATTAGTCATTCGAGTAAATTACTTATTGATTATAGATCTTACAAATTCAAACATGTACTAAAAATATTGAATTATACGTGGATTTGAGAAACGATATAGTTCAAGAGCAAACATCAAATAAGAGTGAAATAAATGAACTGCCTTTTTGCAGTGAATTTACAACTGCCTTAGAAATGAAGAAAAAATGCGAATATCCGATGGAAACAAAAATTCCCTTACCTAATGATAATCTTGGATTAAGTGTTAACAACATTGCCGCAAGTTCCTCTAATCAAGTTTGTCATAATGGATTTCAAACAGCTTTAGATTTAAACGTTTTAGATAACAACAAAACGTCTATACAAGACAGTAGTAAAGAATCTATTGCTAAAATATCGAAATTGATCAATTCAAAAACTAATGAACAGTTTTTGGTCACTTGTAATGGATTCAAAACAGCTTTAGAAATATCCAATTCTACTAAATCGGAATCTGTTTCAGAAGTGTCGAAATTGAATCGAATCAGTCGAAATGACAAATTAAAAAAAAAATTAAATTCGAGATCAATTACAGAATTTTTTAAGAGTAATGTAAGTAAGCCAAGCACTACCCAACATGAAATTGAATCCATCACTGCGAATCAAATTTCAAATATTGCAAAGTCGAATGATTTATTAAATAATGATTTTCGAGGAAACTCAGCTGTTAGCGAGGATTCCCAAGTTGATAAAAACGTGACAGGTGAGTCGATAAGTCATGTTAAAGAAAATAAATTTATTAATGCAAAAAATAATTTTTTGAATGAACAAAACATAGAAACAAATGATTCTGAACGTGTTAATACATTCAAACTTAAATTCCCATCTAAAAATAAAACAACAAAAACGAATGCATTACTTTTTGGAGACGAGTCATCAACAAGTGATGAAGATAAAGATAGTAAAGTGAAGAACAATATAGTTTCAAATGAATTAAAATTTGAAAATGAAAACGTCCATAATCGATACAATTCAACAAAAGATGATAAAGTATTACATAACAAACCATATAACGTACGAAAAATAAATAAACGTTCGTATTCAGAAATAGAGTTAAATAATTTAGATCATAATGCTCAGAATGAAAAACGTCAACGATCGGATAAGGAAGACAATAAGACATCAAGTAGTAAAACATCAGAATCCGTTAAAATTCATAGAAAGACTTTTAATATTTTGAAACCGATAATAATGAAATACTACGTTAGTCATTATATTCCAGATGCTGACAAATTTAAAAGTATTTTCCGAAAAATACACATGAATATACTAGACAATAAAATCTATGGTAAGTTGATTCCTTAAAAAAGTAATAATTCGGTTAAAAAATTAATGCACGTGAATAATTTTTAATTCATTTTCTGTAGAACAAGACGCAATTAAAGCAGTAGCGGTAAAGATGATAAAATCAAAGAAATTTCTTGAGGACGATTAATGATAGCTGAAATTTCAATACGTTGTCTTTTTAATGTGTACAGTTACTTAGTTTTGTATTGTGTGAGAACTTAAACGTTTAATTGTATTTGTATTTTTGTATTTATTTTTGATAAATTAATTTATTTTGATAAAAGTTATTTAGTTCTTTATTTTATAATTATAATTGATGTCTACCACAGCTGGCAATCAACAGTTACATGTTTTAAAATTGAAAATTCAATATGAACAAGCTCAAACACCCAGATTTCGATATCAATTAAATTTAGTTTATGCATTTAGTTTATGCTTCTTTAATAGTGGATATTAGATTTATTCATATTAAAAAAAAAATTAGCCTCGTAATGAATTTTCATCAGGAACTAGTAAAAGTAAAAATCATATTTCACCAAGATTATTTTATAATTCATTAACAAAAGCTTATGTATATTATATGTATAAATTCCAAATCTTTAATGATTTTTATAATTTATTATATATATCTGAAAATAAATTTTAGTCGAACGATTTGGTATTGAATAATTCAGTTATTCTTATACAAGTACTATTTATTGATTTATATCAGTATAAAACAGTATAAATCTTCGCCATTATAGGTTTGTTTTGCTTGATTTTGGTAACCTGTTATAGATCATAATTAAAAATATTGAAATCTATAAAGTAATATACATGTAAATATATTTTACAATAAAATATCATGCATAAATGTTATTAAAGAATATTGAAATTCATTCTAATATTTATTTTCCTAAACTGTGTTAAAAAATATAGCATGGATAAATAATTATAAACGAAGTATTTATTTGAAGAGATTTCTTTATTTCACAAAATTATTTATATATATATCTTTATTTCATAATGAAACATCAACACAAGGCACTTGTCACTGGCAAGATAATCATAACACAATTGGAAAGTAATCACTAATCTATCTGCTCATAATACTTATTCTACAGAGGAAACTTGAATTTTCATAATTATTAGCGAAATGAAACGTTACGAAATTAACTTGTACTCTTCCTATTTGAAATTAATTAAGACAGAATATTATGAATACAAATAATCTCGTGCAAAAAAGAAAATTATGACCACTAGCTGCCTCAATTAAAATTTAAAATTATTTTATAGTTATTTAGAAAAAGTAAGAGCACTGTGTAACTCATATTTAAAAATACTGTATATATTCTTTACTAAAGCTTGTTGTTGATGCTACCCTTATGAAAGCCTTGATAATCAACGAATATAAATTTATAAAAATACTTAAGCATGATTATTTTTACTCAAAATTACAGTAACTTTCATTTGATACTTATGCAATTCGGAAATAGAAAAATATATGTTTTATTAAGACACATGTGCGATTACAGAAATTGTATAAATAAGGCAAGAATGTTACAGATATACTATAAATTTATAATAATAACCAAACTTACAGTTGCATTTTGGAATTTACTGATTGGCATTATATTTTGCTTATAATTCAAAAGTCAATATTGTATAGTCTAATTTATTGAACGTCACGTCAAGTCACAATTTATTTTTAATAATGTGAATAATATTATATTGATAATTTCAATACGAAAGCATTTCAATTTATATCTGTCACAGCTTAATAACTTTTAATTACGTAAAATTATTATTAAAAAAATAAATGAAACGCCATCAAAAACTAATATTACATTATTTGATAAAAATTATTTACAATATTTACAAGAATGCGCTCTCTCAAGACCCGCCCGAATTCGAAAGCAGCAATTTTATATGATAAATAAATGGTGTCATGGAGTTGGTGTCAATTTTATAATCGCTGTTATGAGGCCGTTCGAAAACGATGACACACAAACGAGTTCCTATTAAATATTTATTATGATTTTTATATATGTATAATCATCGTTTCTCTTTCTTTTATGCCTTATAAAAAGGACTGCGAACATTTTAACTGTGATATGATAAATATGTAGGTAGCTGAGTTACTCCTGAAATCATTTTTCATAAGTAAAACACTCTGTGCAAAACGTAATTCACAGGATTTTTCTAACATTATTTTTTAATTGGTTCAATATCCGAACAGTTTCATAAATTTTAACTTAATATCTAATTAATTCACATTGAAAGTAAATTTTATTTGAATGAATCAGTCTTAGCGAAATTTAAATTGTTTTAAAAATACATGCAAATTATCATGTTTAATTGAAAAATCAAACTGTTATTTAAGTACTTTTTGCGTTTGCTCAAATGAACACTGAACGTTGGAATAGTCAAGATCACTTTTATATTCCACTATATTGCCGTCATTGGTTATCGTCACTAAAAACATAATAAACGTCATTGGTAAAAGAACGGTTATGTAGTGTAAAATACTTGATAGAGCAAATTGCAAAGCAAAAAATTGGAAAGATATTTTTTTTTTGGCAGTCACAAATATACAATTGATAGGCTACGCTTTGAAAGCACATATCTTCTCAGAAAGTGTAGCATATGGCAAAATTAACGTAACTTCTGGACGGATATACATATATCAATCGCATACAGCGTGATTTACATGCGCTAATCTAAAAAATGGAGCAATGAGGCGAGAATAAAACAGAAAACGAATCGAAAATGAAATCTACCAACGAGTTACTGTTGATTAAAGGCCAATAAAAAATAAAAAAATAAAAGTCACAGGCCCACGCTCTCTTTGGAAAGTGCAAATATAGAAAAGAGCATTAGAGTCATCCAGTATCTCACCGATGCTTTTTCTGTAAAAACACAAGAAGGGACGCAAAGTAGCACCATCTCCTCGTCCGAATCTTCGAATGAACTGAAGAACCGAAGAGAGACAACAATACATATACGAACAAAAACACAGAGTTCTTCTTTGACGCGCACAAATGTCTGCTCAGACGATGTCTTCTTTCAGGTTGGCGATTTCTTTAAGAGCAGCTTTGTCGATGAGCTCTTCTTCCGTGGGCTGAAGTAACGCGTTGAAATACACACCCGTTTCCTTAGTTTTCAGCGAAGGCCGCCTCTCGTTCAAGTATGCCATCCGTTTGCGCGCGATCTCGGCTTCAAGCCATTGATTCGTAGTTGCCGCGCCTTCGATATCCTTCGGTCGGTAAGTCATGATTTTCGTTACGCTCCAGACCAAGAAGACGACCCCCGCGAGGAAGAAACCGTAGATAGCGATTTCTTGCATAGCCGGCAAAATGTTGAGGTACAGGAAGAATCTCGTGTTCAGGTTGTCCGGTAGTCCGTGCATCCCCTGTGAAAAGTCAAAACAATTTTAGTCTATTCGATTCAGATTACGACGCTCCGAAGTATAACCGATCACTGACAATTTCGAACCACACCAAAGGGATGACAATGTTCGAGAAACCATCGACGTGCTCGATGGCGCTGACGTCTTGCAGAGCCAGATTGATTTGGAAACGGAACGCGATGTCAACTGGCAATCCAGATTGCGGTTGGATGTAGAAGTAGGATTCGTGAATATCTTTGTTTACCGCGATACCTTCCAGAGGCTCGAGGACCGCTGGGTCTGCCAGATAGAAGTGAGGATACGACAGAGCTATCGGGAAACCTAAAAACATACATTGGATTACAAACAATTTTTTCTCCCTGCTCGTTTTTCCTGCTCTCGAAACGACGCTCAAATTTCGACTCGTGACAATTATTCACGGTCTTGTGTAACGGGTGTATTTTCCCCTCCATATTCATCATTCGCGCAATAAATTATAACACTTGGCTAGATTTGTGGTCTGCAACAAGTTCATCGTTATTGTCGTAATTGGCTCTAATGAGTTGTAGACCTGTTTCTCAACAAAAACATCTTTTTCACCGGTTATCAATCAACGTCTATCGGATCAGGTCGCGAGATATCCACATTCAGACGGTATCCAGCCTTTTTTTTTTGTCCTTCTTGCTGATCAGAGCTAATCACGCACGGTTTATTAAAAACATCTGCATCTTTTGTTTTTGTCCATTTGTCATTCAATTATTAGCTTGGCTATTACGCGTTTGTGCAAAATTTATCTAACAACAGTATTTGAAAGAATTTGCGTATCGCGTCATACAATATTAGTGACGCACAACCGCACGGTCTTTATATTTTTCACTTAGACGTATTCTTATGAAAAAATACTGTCTGACCGTACAAGTGGAAACTTCGAAATTGTCTTGGATAACACTCTGATTTTTGTTTCATCGCCAATAATTAGCTGTGGCGTGCGACATACCGAGGCAATTAATTCCAACCATTAAAATAATTGTCCTGTACGTGGAAGAGAATACTCACCATAGTAGCAGTCGGTGACGTCGATTAGACCGTAAGGTAGGCAGTAACCCTGCCGGCAGAAACACTTGTTCTCCGGATTAAAGTGACCGTTGTCCAATTCGTTGTCTACGAACTTGTATTTGTACGTGTATAATCCTTTTATGTACTTCTCGCCAATATGCTCCTGTGAACGTGAACATTTCATTATCTTCATCGATTAAACTAGTCTGACGATGGCGAATATTATTGCAAGTACACGCGTAATATTGAATTATAATACTCGTAGCAAAAAGTAAAAAACGCCTGAAAATTTATGACACCATATATTGGCTTTAATTAGACATCAAAAATCTTGCATATAATCAATTCCGTCCCCGCGAACGCTTCAGTTTCTTTTTAACTCGGTACAGCAATGTCAGCAATGCTACTTCTCATTTTCATCGATCGCGTACTTCACGTGATTAATTGCACTTTGCATGTAGCAGCTGTTTTTTTTAACGCATGGACTGAGTAAAACCAGCTTCCAGTTGTGTTCTGCTGTGACATTGCAGGTATTTTTTATTATGCTTACCAGACGTTCACTTCGGCACAAGCTTTTTCTGAAAAATTTTAAGGTGTCGTTTGGCTTGATGTAGCTCTGGAATTTGGCTCCATCACTGGCGCCACTGACATTAGCACATTTGCCCGTCCACTGAGGTAGATTTTCATTGCCATTGTATTTCTCGATCAGACCCGTCAGACGTGGATCAACCTCGCCGGTGTAAACTGTTTCGTAATCCCCGGAGAAATCGTACATCTAGGGAATAGCAGTGAAACGTTGTTGAGGACAAAAAAACGCTTATAGTTGCACGTGTACGTATCAATTTGCATGGCTTTGATGTGTAGGTACGTCACAAATGCAATTGCAAAAAAAGTATTTAGTCTGGTTATGTAATAAGTTAAACGCAACTTACTCTATCGATGAGACCTAAACGTTCAAACTTAATCCAGGACGGCATAAAGTTGTTGCCGAGAGTTACGAGGGTGGACTGATATCCAAACATGAACTCCTTGGCTGTCATTGGTACTAATGGCTTCGAGTCCGTCTGACGAATCAACATATTCAGGCCCATACGTGAAAGTATCGATGCATCTCGCATCACATTGGCGATACTCTGTAACAGAAATGTGGACAGTGTTCGTTTATTGACTGTTCACTCGGCACTTGATTTGAGCATATCGTTCCGATTAAATACTTTCAATTTGTACTTCCAAAGCGTCAGCTTCAACTGCATGTTAAGTATTCAGTTTGTACAATTAGCTTATCGATACGATTAAATAATAATTGAACGCGGCAACGATGCGATCAAAAATTCACAGTCCTCGCGTGGCTGAATACAAACGGAGTGCCTTGCGATTGTTTGTAAATGAGAGTAGTTAGAGTAGACAATCGGAACTCGCGATGTGCGACAAATCACTGCGTAAAAAACGAGCCCCGAGACAAACACGCGATTTTCCAGTTACGCGCTGTTGGTGCACTTTCCCGTCCATTTCTTTCGCGTCTGCGAGTGCATTGCTATATCGATTACCGAGCGATCATTACGTAAAGGTACACGTCGTGCAGTTCGACGCTAATGATGCAGTTGTGTGGTTGCCAATTACCAAAATGTGCACACGTACACGGGTTCTTTGTAATAACTTAGAAATTTCTCGGCAACAATAGTAGTATATTACGCTTGCATTTCAATTGAACGTCTAATATTGAAACGAGTACGCAATTATTTGCGTGATAACTTGAATTGGATAAGCGACTGCTAACTGACTTGAATTGTCATTGTAAATAGTTTTTATAGAGTGCTCGAAGTATAAACAATCACTGCATTATTAAATCTAGGTTGTTCGAGTTTTACAATGCCGTCGCAATGTGTATTAATCATCTGCGAAATGCCAAAGAAATCGTTTAATTGACGTTACCGCGGTTATTATGCATTTCATGATGTTGGATGACAAACTTTGATAATTTCACAATTTTCGCACTTCGTTTCCGTAGGGACACAAACGGATTATTTCAGTGCCATTTACAAAGATATTTTTTACTCAATTAGTAAACGTAACGCATGTGCTATACATGCACGTACTTTCGACAAGTTGCATAATACTTCACGAAGCTACGATACGATTTGAAGTGATCGATTGATTTATCGAGAATTTAACCAGTTACATAAATAAAATTCGATTTCCTTATTGTATACTATATTTTGTGTGACTCTAATCATCGTCACGATAATCGTGGTATTAAAGGTAAGTATGACATAAATCAAGCTATACAGTATAGCGAATTGCGAATGATCGTATCTCAATTTTTAGCCCGGAACACAGCTACGACTCTTTATGCCTGACAATTTCTTTTTTCAAAAAAATTACAATGATGATGTTTGAAAGCATAGGCTATTCGTGCACACAGGCGAGCGTCTTCCCGTATTTCAATGAAAGTACACTTTAAGTCGACTAAATTATTTTCATATTACAAATTCTGTTAAGACATTAAAAAATATTCGTTTAGTAATGGAAGGATTGAATTAACAATGTCAAGAGTTTTTAGTGACTTAGCCTATTTTGATACTGCTTCATACAATTAAATGCACATCATTCAAGGATACTTTCGTCGTAAAAATGCCGATAATCTGATGCGAATGATCAGGCTGCAATATCCAACCGAACTATTTTCTTTAAACGGCAAAGTCAACACTCGACATGCACACATCTGACTCACGATGGTTCGAATTAGCAGCTTTGCGCGAGATACTGAGGTTGAGCTGCAACAACTATAAGCTCCATATACGTTGTCTAATTAATTAATCAAATTAACTTCATTTTATTTAGATGTGGCGTGAGTTTTTCTGAACATCTAATAATCCAACTAAACTTGTTCACCAGAGATATGGACTATTTGAAAAATCACTTCTGATGATATTATTTAAGGATGCATTGTGACTTTCAATACTTTATAGTACGTGAGTATGTAGGATACCGAAAATACAAATTCACAATGTGCGTGCAACAGACAATGTTTCGGTAGTCAATTATATAATTTTTTAAGTTTAATTTTAATATTTTGTCCTTGGAGGCAAAAATTTTATGTAAATATAAGTGTGACAACGGGTTTCATTGTAGATCTACGTCAACGCATTGTACTTCAAGTATCATGCAAATAATGTAAAAATCAAGAATAATGCTGTTCTAATTTTCGGAAATAAATATGTCAATTAGATAATCAATAATTCCAATGTTTTTTAAAGATTGTGGAGCGACGTTGAACTGCAATTAAAATGCACTCTTGAATAATTATTTATTTCATACGCAAAATTCTACTTATTTGTCGATGACAAATTGATGCATCGCTTTGACTTAAGGTATGATCAAATATTCTTATCTAATCGATGTCATATGAAACCACATTTGCATTCTTTACAATTACTTCCTCAAATAAGTATAAACATTAATGAGAGGGACGTGACAGTAAAAATTGTCCAAAAAAAATAATTTCAATTAAATTGATATTGTGGTCTTTTATTCAATCTGAAATCCCAAAAAAATATTTAAGATGCTAAAAATAAATATGTACGGTTAGACGCTAACACTGCATTGTTATTCGTATATTAGAAAACTAAAAATAACTTGTTGATATGAACAGTACAGTCAAAACGGAGGTGAAATGTGGTTTCGAATGTTTATTAATTTCGAAAGGGAAACTAGAATGACAGTGATACAGGTTGAAACTTTTCAGGCAATAAAAATAACTGAAAGACATGTATAAATTGTTGTTCATTGTCCGAGTACATGGCACTCGACAAAACATTAAACAACAAATACGACTGCCGCTTTCATTGCACTTGGCTGCGTGGGAAGACGAGAATTGTTCGCGGTAAGAGCGTACGACAAGTATGTCATTCGTATGAGCAATTGCTTTTTTTTTTTCTTTCAAGAAACATCTCGTGACGCTTTTTTGCGTAAATTCACAATTGTTTCGGCTTTAGAATAATTATTAAATTTCAATCAGCGATTTTCTCGATTGTGTGATATGATTTCTTATTGCCGAGTTTTTACTGCGCGACAACGCACCACGCGTACGGTCGGCTTGGAAAAAAGACCTCGTTTCCACGAATGCGCATGCGATAAACAAAACCGGTTTCCTTCAATGTACGCACGAGATTAGCGCATTCTGGAAGTTTTTGTGAAAGGACCATCACCCAAAAACGAGTCGTATACCTTATCAGTACCCCGTTTTTCAAAATAAATTGCTCAATATATTATTCAAGCTCTTTAACAGCTGGTACGATGACATTGCAGTTTTGTGCCGCTCACGACTGGCTGACCAGCCCGAAAGTCTTTCTTTTTTTACCGGGAGTTTGTTGAACTCACGCGAGGCCATTGAAACTATCTGACCCTTTAAGGTACGTCCTCGCACTTTCGTTACTGTTATTCGCGCTTACGCACGTGTACCATTCACTATGCTACAAAATACAACAACTATATATGTATATATATTTTTTTTTTGAATGAAGAAGGCAAAGATCTAAAAATGTAAAGGTCTTATCAGTCAGGTTGATAGAGGTTCTATAGAAAAATTGGCCCTGATAATTAACCATGTAAAGTTCTTAAATTTGCTGTATACTTGAAAAAAGAACTTTTCTCGTGATACAATGCTGTAAACAGTATTCGATAAGAAGTACATTTCTCTTCATCCTGTGAAAGTAGAAGACAAATTGCGTTTTAAAGATTGCTTGTGATTGTGTAAAAAGGTGATCTCAAAATACATTGTGTAACTCCCGCACGAGCGACACGCGACCATCATTATATGATTGTACGTTTTTCATATATTTATGTTCATTCAAATGAAGAACACCACTCGAATGACAAGAGAGAAGCCACACAGTATCATAGATCATAATCAGTTTTAATAACTACCTAAGGATTGAGTGGTTTATAATTCAAAGTATTAGAAAAAGGTGTAATATTTAAAATAGGTTTATTAACAAAAATGATTAAGTTTTATTTATTTTCGTATATGGTTTCTTAACTGCAAGATATTCGAAAGAGTAGATAATATATAAATTAAATATTTATATGAAAAAATAAAAAATATAGAAAAATATACTAAACTCAATATTTCATTGTCCAATGAAAATAACACAGATCCATAAAATAAATAATTGTAATTGTTGTTGGCCAACTGACGATCATTTCCGAAGTAATTGTTTGCGTAGAACTCGAATCCGAAGTCAGAATTAATCCATCACATCGGGTTTTTAGATATCCAAACTCAGGCGAAAAAAGCAGTTTTTGGTATATTTGAGGTTTTGTAAAAAATGTTCTGAAAAAAATTACCCAAAAGATCAATTCTTACCCTTCAGAATCTTTTTTCAGATTTGAGACTTTTTTCCATGGAGATATCGATGATTGAAGTTTTATTGTTATAAAGTATTAAAGTATTTTTGCATATGCTATTATGCGTATCCGAAAATTAGCTGGTTCAAAATTACTGAAATAGTTGACTTCGATCAACCATATCTTAAATCTGAAAAATAGATTTTGAAGAGTAAGAGTTGGCCTTTCGGAGAATTCTCTTTGTTTATAGAAAAAATTCTTTTTCACAACGCTACAGAACCTCCAATCTACCAAAAAACTACCTTTTTCGCCTCTTTAAGTTAGGATATCTAAAAAACCTGATATGATGGACAAATTCTAACTTTGGATTTGAATTTTACGCAAAAACTTACTTTGAAATTGACCCTCGGTTAACCAACAACACAATCATATTAATCTTTATAATGAGTAAATAATAATATCAAGTAAATTATAAATAGAACAGAGATGTTATTTTAGCCCCAAACGGATTTGAATACGATGAATAATCGTAAAGACGTCTCTTGCATTTGAATTACTTTGTATTTGTAATCATTACGCCATTGTGGTGATTTTGTTTTGAAAGGCTACATTCAGCGGTTGTATTGAATGGTTCAAAAACTTCGATTAATAATCGTATATTTTATCGCGATTTTGAAATATATGTGTGCGCGTATATGTAACGTGATTATTGATGAAAGATTTCGTATCTGAAAAAAGTATTAAAATCAGATCGGTTTTTATGAATATACTCAAAGTATTGTGAATATATACAAAGTACATTAATGACATTTTGTACATAAATTTTTCGACACTCCGTACGGAAAGTGCGTTTTTCCCGCACGCTCGGCAAAAAACGTGTGTTGAAAATCGCACTTTCCAACGTCGTATCAAAAAATGAATCGGTACGGCACATATACAGCACTCGCTTCGCTCGGGCGTAAACGCCACACGAGACAAGAATCTACTTTCCCGCACTTGTATCGTAATGTACTATATTACAACCACTTTCCAATTAACACGCAATTCTTGATCAAACTAATGATAAATCACATAACCTAAATATGCATGTATCAATAAAATATTTCAGTGTATGGCTTTATGGCTTTTAGTGACTTAACATGTTTTTTATCGGTAAAGAATCAAATGTATAATTGTTGAATAAAATAATAGTAATAAATCGATGAATTAAAAAAACAAAGAAGGTAACACAAAGAGCAAATCAGCCTTGTTATCCAGATTTTAGTTTCCAATAGATTTATTACCATGCAGATCAAAAAACTTTTTTAAAAAAAAGTTGTTCTACTATGTGTTGCGAAATATTCCTAAATAATCTTTCTTCTAGGTAAAAAGCACCACGTGTTCCTAATGTTAGCGATGAAGATCCAAGCGTATATTACTCGTTCTTTTACTGTTATCCGTTCCATTTAGACTTCGCGTATATCACTATATTTCGTTTTCTTTTTCTTCCGACTATCATCTTCATTTTCTTTTTTAAAACAAAAAAGTTGATATTTTTTGAAATAGTTATTTGGATATCATAAATGTTTTGCTATATTATTACATTTAATAAAAGAATTACGGAATAACTTTTAATATCACATGCTTTCTTCTTTGATAAAATTGAAAGTGATATAAACGAGTACTAGGCACTCTTCTTTTTTAATGGCAACTTTTCGCACGTGGTTCAAGATTTTAATATATATGTATGAATAAAGAAATAGTTTTATTTTGGAAAACAAAACGAGATAAAACAACTGAATTGTTATGTAATAATAATCCGACAATTTGTATTTCACCCTTCAAATTATTTTATGACGAATAATTAGGCAGGGATATAAATCTTAATAATAATTATATATGTATATAATTGTGTTATATATAATGTATAACTATATTAATTGCGACTAATGTAATTCGTGTATATGTACTCTGGTAATAATAATAATAATTCATCGAAGATATTGTTAATTTAAGTGAAGAAAAATTATTTTTCTCAGTTGTACAGAATGTGAATACGCAATAAATTATTTGCTTATTTAATAATACATCTTGTCGAGAAATTTAGGTTGCGACAGCGCAGCGCAACTCAAGTTTATTGTTACTTTGAAAACTCAAAACATAATATTTCTTTGTGCTTGGCTTATAAATTATTTGCATTATAACTGTTCATCCAAGCAAACGGTTTCCGTTCATAATCAGAACGCGAATGAAGTTGTAAACGCAACGAAAGTGACGAAATAACTCATAAAGTATGCAGCAAACACAAGAGCTCTCATCATCCTGCAAATCTTCTGGATTTTCACAATTGATGAATATGGAGAGCATTCAAGAAAAAGACAACAAACTGTATGAAAGAAACGAGGAAGAAAGAAAGAAAAGAAACGAGACAGGCTAATCTCTAACAGTCAAAAATTACACAACTAGCTTGTTACACGATGCTTACGTTATATGGCCATTAAATGCCTTCTGGCGCGATGATCCGATTGGTATTTTTTCTTCAGTCGTTAGAGGAAACGTTCGGTTCGCAATCGACGATTATCCGCATACGGATCGTCGACCTCACGATGAACTCTGACCTAACTAAACACAGTCGACTCACAAAATCGAAATCATCGTTTCGCTTTCGTTTTTCTCCCAACTGTCCATTTAGATTTTTTGTATTTTTTGGAATTCGGAACGTGCGTCACAGGTCGAATTGTGATTCACTCGGTGCTCAAGATTAATCATGCGACGGAGAGTCTGCGGCAGCAAATCATTCGTCGAATTAACATTTTACAATGTGTAATCAGATATGCCAGCGGCATTCTTTTTCTCTTCCAACTGATTGTATGAAAAATTACAAGTAGTCTTGTACCGTAGGATACGCTTCAGTGTTGGTACATAACTGTTCACTGCATAACGCAGTGATAGTGCACCAAATAAAAAACGGCCTAAATTTTTATTTATCGCGTTAAATTAGCAATGAAGATAGAATTGGGTCTTGATATATGTAAAAGAGATAGATTTCGTTCTGCTCTAATAAAAATGCGATAGCCTTGACCTCTTATGAAATTAACTGTTTTTTAATTCTGTGTTTTGTCCACATTTTAACATTCGGTTCGTTATATTGGTATTAATCTACATGCTACGTGCCAGTAATCATGTATATTAGATATATGTATGTTGTTAGATAATATATAAACGTAAGCCAATAACGAATAACGAAATGTAAAAATCAGGAAGATATATATGTAGGAGATTGAAGTCTATTCAAGATTTTTTAGCAGAGTAATGATTAAAATGTCGATTTGGGAATTTGTCAAATTTACATTTTGGCAGTTACGGTCTTTATAAATAACATGTATTAAAATCGAATCGTGAGTAGATTAGCTAAACTTAGAGTAGCTAACTATTTTTGTGAAGAATTCGAAATTAAAAATCCGCAAAAAAACAAGACGAGACGAGACCATGCTCCAAAAATATCCGATTACATTAAATATATGTAAATTCAACGTTTTAGTGACGTTTTTAATTAGCTGCTATTTAAAATAAGATACGGTGTAAAGTATATTTTAAAATAAAAACTGACGAATAAGATTCTACGAGTGCTGTTTTCTCCAACTAAAAAACGAACTGAGCCTTCAAAAAACATTTTGACGAAAGCTTGATGTATTGAAGACAATCAGTGATAGTTGTAAAGCAAACTTAATTAATCGTTCCGATTAAGCCACAATGTAGGACGATGATAATTATTATCGCTTAACGATGTTGTAAAGCGAATAACAATTTACGTACACACTTTGTAAGAAAAAGTTTGCTTGTAATTGAACATGATAGGATATTCATAGTCATGAATTCTGTAACAATCATAAGTTGCATATGCATATTTTATTCTATGTACTTCGTAAAGACATTAGAAGGTCAAAACAATATTGATTTAATTTATCACGAATTTTGAAGGTTAGTGAAAATTATTTGTGCATTATTTATCAAAAGTTTGACAGTCCATACGTCAATATATTAGTATATCGGCGCCCTGTTATTACAGGTTTTCAAGAGCACGAAAACAACTTTTTCAGCAAGTTCTATTCGTGGGCAGCAAGGTTCTGTTATTGACCATCAAAGGGTCACGTAAAATATCAGAAATCGTGTAATGTGCGATGTGAAAAAAGTTGAGAATTTGCGACAGGTGGACGAGGGTAGATGACCTTTACCAAAGATGGAACTCATGGTCCATGAATTATTACGCTATACTTATCGAACAACAGCAAAGCGATAGACTGCGTTTCTTTTATTCATACGTAAGCGAAACCAAATTTTCGTCGTTTTATTCGCGAATGCGTATTATAAGTTGTAGCAATAGCAATTGGAGGACCCCCAGTATAAATATGACGACACCGAGATCTATTAAGATTGCAAAAAGATAAAAATCGGCCTGAAGTACATCGAGCTAGACATAAATTTCTCGTGACAACGGTCGGCCATTCATATCGGACACATTGACGGTGTTACGTAGTCGAGGGGGAACCACGAAATCCTGACCTTGGCAAGGCCACTTGGATATTTCGCATCACGCGCACGAACATAAAGCGCGATATACAGCGAGCGGTTAACAACCTGATCACCGCTTCAGGTGCATTATCTTACCAGCAAAAATTACGTTGTAACCGGTCCTTTTCCACGCGACGTTTATCGGTTTAATCAATCGAAGGGTGTAATCAATCGTCACTTCAATGCCAAACAAATTACAGCCTGCGATTACTGGACGTAATAGGATTCGTACGGAATGCAGATACTATTAAGAAGTCTTGATCACGAGCTTTCAAGTTTTCACGGCATTCCGTTGAGCGAATTCGTCATTGACTTCAAGTTCTCCGGTTCCTTTTAACTTTCAATACGAGGTTTGTAATCGCTCGAAAATTGTAGCTGTGTGCGACTGTATTAAACGAGTTTCCGACGATCGCAATGTATGCAGCACTATATCGTTGTACTTCATTGATGCAATTACGTTGGAAATTTCACTTAATGTTACCAAGACGAGGTCTTGCACGACATTTCAACAAAAAGTCATCATCTTTTACACGAATTAATAACTATGACAGAAACGTATCTAAAAAAAGTTTCCGCCGTAATGAGCAGTTCACAGCGATTTTTAATTCGAATCAGACGTAGGAAATTGATTTTCTCGGAAAAAGTGAAATGAAACGTATATGTGTATACGTCATTATATCTTATATATATATATATATATATATATATATATATATATATATATATATATCTGTACGTGCAAGCGCTTGAAACATTAACAGTTACAGGTGTGTCAAAGCTGATGACGTATTGCTTGAAGAGGTAGGTGCTTGAAATGCTTAAAAATAATCTTAAATATTGAAAGCTCCGTTGTATTTGATTTGAGTTGAAACCCGTAGCATAAATATTTTCATCGAATTGAAAAGGTAAAACTCACCAATAGAGCAATATTTGGCATAACAACGATATCGCTTTCTGTCCCGTTGCTCAATTCGGGTACGAATTCCAGAGGATGAAGAGGTATCGCAGTGACAGTTCCATTGTCATTGAAAGTGACGTTGCCATGCTCCAGATACTCCCTAATTAACGGAAATGCGAACAATCAATTCTAGTCCTTCGGCGAAAAGGACGCGGGTAAAATGGAATGACGCGATTGATCGAGAATATTACGGTACGCACTTGTAGACGTAGGGACCGATCTCTTGGATTTTGAGTTTGCTGTCTTGACGGCTCATATAAGCTTCGTGATTGGTCACGTTGAAGAGGTAAACTTTGAGGTAAAGATCCACCGGTGGTGCACGCCAAATCTCGTAGATCTCACCGCCAGGACCAAAGGTTGACTTCCACTTAAAAATGAAATCGTACGGCTGAATCACCAGCACTAGAGTTCCGATTAATAGTCCCAATAGGCCCGCTGCCATAAGCGTAAATATACCTGAAACAAATTGATACGTTTATCACGAGACTCCGATCATTAGCTTGTCCGAGGATTTTTATAAATTCTAAACCAACGAATCGGTTAAGCGCCAGTCATAACTTTAGCTCATAGAAATGAAAAATGAAGCAACACACGTAAAGCCCATAGAATTGATCACACGCTCTCGTTGAATTCGTTTACTGTCGCTTCATTCTTCCAGATCAGTTTGTTTTGGCCCGCATAAATTCTACTCTGAAAGATCATCTAAGAAACTAAGCAACGAAAGATCACGTTCGCGCGTCGTTCCCGCGTCGAAGAACAAAACGAAAATTTGCATGCGCCGAAAATATGTGAATCGCGTTGTCGCCGAGGCTTCAATGATCGTCTATTCGCGTATTACATGCGATGTGAAAAACGTTCGCGATTCGTGCACGTAGACACTGTTGGGGTATTCCAGAACAAAAGGAGAAACACGAGACACGGAGGCGGATATCTGGCTGGTCGGATGAGCGCACACACAGTTGACAGCTCCGCAATTTGCGCGTGCATACGAGCTGTATACGCTGATTCAAGGATATCTCGGCCGATCGAGTCTTTCGTGACTTGGCGGTTAACGAGGAATCTCAAGTCAGAAGCTAGCGTGGATGAAAGATCGTTGCGCAGCGAAAAGAAGGAAAAATTGGCCGCGTTAAACCGATCGACGCAGATCCATTTCGACCGGCCTGAAGTAAGCCGACCCCAAACGAAGCCAAGTACGACGATCGCACGCGTAAAAAACGCGCGGGAATGATAATTGCCGAAGCACGACGATCGCGCTGCGGCCGTGATCTTCTTCGATGCGTGCGCACGAGCCGAGGACTTGAAAATTGCACAATGGCGCGTATGCTGCAATCTGGATCGATGGCGGCAAAAAAGGGAGAGAATAAAAAGAAGCTCAAAGTCGAGGTTACGCAAACGGCCTATTGGATTGTGCGCAGTCCGCGACATTCTCGATAGCGCGATGACATTAGATACAACCCCCGGGGCGCGCGTGCGTCTTATCGATCGAGCTTCGACATGTAACGCTCAATGACGTATCAATGAGCATCGTTTTTTTTTTTTTGGCCTCTTGTTATTTTCGTTAAATGGTCTAGTTTCATAATTATCGATCGGTAAGCGCGCTGTTACATATATCAGTGACACCGGCATCCCTTCAACTTAAATACCATATTATTTTTGTTCCTATGACGAAAAATTACTGGTGATATTGCTCTCTGCATGCATGCATCAAGCGTACATCAAAACTAAACGAAAGCGCTTATCAGAGTTTTTAGCCGTGAAATCACGGGCGAGATGCGAGAGCTTCAGTTCAGTCATTTTGCAATTAACACGAGGGAATATTGACTTTGAACTTAGGTGATGCTTTTTTCTTTGAACTCATTTGAAATTGGTCTCGAAACGATATATATTTCAATGTCGTGTCAGCGATAACATGAGTTTGGAGCATACTACCGATACGATGTAATTGCAAACAAAAAACAATTGTTTTCCTTCTCGTGATAGATTTATGCTCCTACTAAAGATTTCCGAAGTCGACCGAATTTCCCTGACCGCTTATTTTTAACATCGCTCATTGAATCCTTGAATGTTTGGAAAATAAATGACTTGGCGCAGACTGACTCAGTGAAAAGATTGGAAAAAGAGTCCATTGCTGATGTTAATTTTTCCTTTTGTGAAATGAAATTCCTGTTCAACTATTTATAAGAATTGAAGAGGTTTTCGAAAAAGCAAGTGTGACAAGAAATACGTTAGAAGTAGTCAGTTTGAGAAAACAACCTGATTTTCCTTTGATTTGTTTGACAAGTATTATAAACAAAGAGAAAGAATAATAGCTATTTGTTTATTTTGACAGCGAATTGATAGCTATGGTCGAGGTGTACGTGGGTCAAATAGGCTTTTGTCCCTTTGTCCAATAGTCGCAAGTATAGTTTGCGAGCGATGACTCGCGTGTCGCCGCGCGCGAATGCAAATTAGCCGACTGGTTAATCAGGTCGTTCCGAAACGGAATCACGTATGGCGAAATATCCTTCGTGCCACGGTTGGCTCAACTATCAAGTTCTTTCCGATCCGATCGCGCGCATTGACTCATTCGCCTGCACCTCGTCTAGCTTGACTAGTGTTTGCAGACTAACTCGAGGAAGTTTTGGGAATCAAACTTGTTTCCTCTTGTTTTTCGTCCTACGCACTACCGCTTAGCTTTCCAAGCTCGAATATCACACTTGACGTCGTATTCAATAAATTATTTCGACTAATTTAATAAAACAAGTGTGTATTGATTGCCTAACTCGATGAAAAACAATTACTATTCTACGATATTATCTGATACATTTAGAACGGCGTAAAGATGTCCAGCGGATTATCTCAACTTATAATATTCGATTTGAAAATAAAGTATCTTTATTCAAGAATAAAAATTTCGATCTCATGATTTAATCTGATCCATAGAATTTAACGAACATTGGAGATGTCCTTTGATATACAGCTTTATTATGAAATTTTATTTAATAGTTTAACTGTACGATATAAGATATAGACGAATTTTCATAGATGCGTATAAGGAAACAGTTAAGTCTATTTTTTCATCGATATTGCTTGTGAATAATGCGTAACAAATTGCAAAAATGTTGTTAGCATTGAAGTGTTCTCGCGAAACATAGATGAATTAAATATTTCTGCATACTGTCGCGCGTCTATATCAAATGGTTGGATTGCAAATTGTAAGAACCGACCGTCTGAAGTTCTCAGGAAATATCGCCCCAAGCTTATTTTCGTGGGGATCGAGTGAAGGTAAAATTACAAACACAAAATCAAGAAATACCTTTCACCGTCATCTTAAAGTAATGTTGTATTGAGTCATTTTGAGATGTAAATTCGAAGATTATTGAAATGAGAAGTGGCGCGATATACTAATGTGATTAGCCAATAATGTTTTATGTCTGCTTGCTAATAATAATTATAAGACAAAGGATGTTTACAAAAGTCTATTTATATATGCGTCGATAATTTAGTATCACTTAAATGTTCGCACAAATGGCGTTTACAAAAAGATATTCATTTCTATGTAAATAAATTGGACAAATAGCAATCGAGAAAATAGTCGACAAAGGCGTCGGAAAATAAGACTGGTTTTAATAAGGTGATTACTCGCTGAGTCTGCAGATTGCGGTCAATCGCGAGGGACTAACCGATTCGCCGGTAGGTCGGATGCGTGCGACAACGCGCCGAACGCTTTCGCCTTTTCCCGAGCGAGTGCGCGCCGCGTTCCCGCCTTGCCGGAATCTCGGCGACCGTTGCGCAACGAAATGCACTTTGCATAATGCGCCGCGGAGCCGGGGCGACAATTTCACGTGAAAGCGCAGCCCGAAATCGGCGCGACGCTCGCGTACCCGTGGCTGCGGCGGAGCTCGATTTCGCAACGCCGGCAGACGCGCATCTAGCAAGACGCCAGGCCTAGTTCAGTAGCATCGGCTTATCTCGCACGCGAGGCGACTGATAAATTAGCGGGCAGCTCGTCGGGGCGAGCCGCTAATCGAGGCCGAACGTGCGTGCATGCGCGTTCGCCGTTCTCTCGCTCTTCCCATCCTCGTCGTCCGACAGCCATTTGTCAGTTGATCGCGTCTGCCTTATTTATGCGCTCCAGCGACGGGGGATCGAGGGAGGCACGAGACTCTTTCCTTTGCTAGATTACGCGATGGAGCGCTCGCACGTATCGTCGGTTCGAAGACCTCGCGTCGCTTCGCCGATAATGCCGACTCGACAACGCCTCTCTCGGCACGTACTCTCGCCCTTTTCGTTGCCACTTCTGACCTTGTCTATCGTCTATGTCTTCTTTATGCCAGTCTACATATCGCCCTAACGGCTCGTCACCCTCACCTCGGTATTGCCATTTCTACCCTCTCTCTGTATTTTCCCATTTATATACATTTGGATTTCGAAAACGCGGAAATCAGTGGCCGATCCGTTCTATTACGTAAGTCCCGTGCTGTTTCGCACGCTCTCCGTTACTGCGGCCGGCCGCGGTGGCAGGTTCGCCGAGCTGCACCACGCGCGGAATCATCTTGTTTCGCGAGAGCGCGCATCAACGCCGATAGACAAAGAACCGCATCGCCAAGCAGAGCAATGAATTTTAACGACAAAACAAAAATTACGTATACGCGAGACGACGCCAAAATTTTTTTAATACCTTTCAAATCGTCAAAGCCATGGTGTCACTGCACCTCATCACTTTTTTCGTACTTATAATACTTTGTCTTCCAAACTGAGTATCTCTAAGGCTCGATTGCCTACTTATCTATGGGCAGAAGCAATTATTTGCATACGTGAAATCGGTACACCAGAGATAGTAGAGGCCAGGATATTTCAACAATGAATGGCTAGTTGTGAAAATAAGAATTGCCCTTGATAGATCAAAATTGACGAGAGAATTGATCTAATTATATAACGATCCTAGTTTCGTTATATAATTAATATGTTTAATAAAATCATATGAAATTTTAAAAATTTATATGGAAGTACAAAACACTAGATTGTCTCATAATAAAAACTTTGACGGCTTAACTTGCAAATTGCCGTGATTCATGACTTGTTTCTTGAATATTCTTTGGCATATTTATCCAGTGTACATGAGCATTTAGGGTAAAGAAATCGCCTAACATTAGGCATACATTCTGAGTTGATCATATATTTACTTCGAGCTTGATGTTACACGTACCTTGATAATATTGAAGATCAATAAATTCTATTTCTTAATAAATTTCTAATTGAGACGTTTGCATGCAGATATATAACATCCGCTATGCAAATTAAATACGGATGTAGAACAATTCTTCGTCAACTAAAGGCCTATCTGTAGTCACCCGATGCTTACATCGAATAGAATTAAAGCTAGCGTCAAACAATTGTTCGCATTAACTGCGACGCTGGTAATAAAATACGTGATTCCGTGTGAACGCGAAAAACAATAAGAGATAAAAGAAGAG